TGTTACTAAGTTTAAGTATGAAACACATCCACAAAAAATTTTTACATGTTTTTTTAATTTATTTTACTACAGTTTCCTTTTGTAAGTTTTGTAAGTTGTACAGTTCCACAAGTGTCCCATCACTTTTGTGAGATACTGTAAGACTAATCAATCGGAAAAACGAAAAGCATCTACCGCTATAACTGCCCCGGTTAAAAAATCAGTCTATGAACAGAATGGATTAACCCTCGAAAAACTCATAACGGACTAAAAACTCATAAACAGATCTAAAACTGAAATTTCAGATCATGATTATGCCCATCAAAACAAATTTAGTACTGTATCTGATAACGATGAAATGGAAGTTAGTAACTCCTATGAAAATCCCAATAATGAATTTATTACACCGCGTAAAAAGGCAGGGAGTATTCCCCTTATAATTGTCGCCAACGTCGATCACTGGACACCGATCAGAGATGATATAGTACTTAAGCATGGAATAGAAAAGTTGAAGGAAATTTGAAAGGTGGAGATCTTCACATCAAAGTTTTTACTCCTGATGACAATCATAAAGTTACTGCTCTACTAGACGAGCGTCAACGCTCTTCCATACCTTTCCTCTAGCACAAGATAAACCTATTCGTGTAGTAATAAAAAACTCCCAATTCGCACTCCAGTTGCTGAAATTGAAGGAGCCCTAATAGAAAAAGTTATATCTGTTAAATAAATAAAAAAAATTACTAGGAAAATAGATGGCGAAATTAAACCTTTACCTTTCTTCTTAATGGAGGTAGCTCGAAGTGAAAAAGGCAAACAAATATTTAATTTAACCCATCTCAAGGGACTTGCTATATTCGTTGAAAAATTTAAACCAATGCCAGGACCAAAGCAGTGTCGTAAATGCCAAATATGGACATATAAATTATATGGACATTGTAAATCGCACTGCCAGCATAACACTCGCTGTTTAAAATGTGGTGAAAGTAACGAAACATCAAGTTGTAAGAAAGACAAAAAAACTTCCCGACGAGAGCTGTTTACGTAGAGGACCCCACGTTGCGTCCTATCGCGGGCGTGAGATATACCCCGAAAATATGCGCAAAAACACCAATACTTAGAGAAATATACCACTACCACCGAATGATGAAGAAAACTTTCCGTCACTACCTCGAAAGGTAACTGAAAAATCTCCAAGGCTTTCTGACTCAAGGGTCAGAAAGTAGTTCCATCAAGGATGACTTACAGTCATTCATTTCTTGGATTAGAAATACCTTTCAAGCGGCTAAAACCCTTTTTGAAAATTTTAAAAATTCCGTTTTGGACAAAATCCAAATTGTGATCGAAGCATTTGACGTATTAATGTACACAGAATGTTGATAGCAATTGGTAGTTGTGAACTGTATATTAATTCATAAAAGTCAAGTTGAGAAACTTAACAACATTTAGTTTCTTTCAATAACAATAATGCCGCTTAAACGGGCAAAGAGTGAGTAAGGAATGATTAACAATTGACTGCCGCTTTGTTCGGGCAGAGGAACGGAGACTCGATGTGGACCGAGTGCATTCCTATCGCTTACTGATTAGTACTGGGCTCTCGCCACTAACATTACGTGGCGCTGCAAACATTAATTGGTGTATTGAGAATACGGCAAAGCACACTAGGGCTATCTGCCTAAGGGGAGGGATGCCTTCGTGGAGGACGTTCTAAGAAAACTGACTCGTATACACGTTACACATGGGGAAAACCACGAAAACGCCCATGCAGCCAGCCCGTTCGCGGGATTCGAACCTCGGACCGAACTACCAATGTTCAGCGATTTTACCGCTCGGCCGCTGGTGAGCCGCTGCAAACATTAAGCCAGTACAAATCGACATAAATATTCTAACCGAGACGGAACATTCCGCCCGGCATTGAAATTTGATACAAAAATTTCAATCAATTAATTAGTGACAAATCACAATATTTCAAAACTGATAATCACATAAATAGTTGTCAGATTACTACAGATCTAAAACTGAATTATGGAGTTTAAGAACATTAAATATTGAAAATAGTAATTATGCAAACAATATATACTAAGTTGACATAAAAAGTGTTACAATACACATACATTTCAAAATAAGCCATACAAATCCTTTAAACATATAATCATTATTAAATTCTTGTAATGTATAAACTGATTCCACAAAGTCAGTAGAAATTTGAATATTACATTGGCAATAAACAGATCTTTGATATAGATCTAGTGCAGATTCCTGAAGCAGTTTTAACTTTAGCTACACGTACCTTACCATCTGTACCAGGGATTGTCTCTAAAATTCTACCTAAGGCCCAATGGCAAGGCGGCTAGATTGAATTTTTGAAAAATTCTCATCCTTAAGTAAAACCATTGCACCTGTTTCTACATTGGATTTCTGAAACTGCCATTTATTGCGCTGTTGCAAGTGATTGAGGTAATCTGTTTGCCAACGCTTCCATATTAATTGAACAAATTTTGTTGTTCGCTGCCACCTGCATAACCTATTATCAGTGATTTCAATAAGTTCAGGCTCTGGTATAGACGTGATTGGACGGCCGACTAAAAAATGTCCTGGCATTAAAACTTCAAATTCATTAATATCATTAGACATAGAGGTTAACGGGCGTGAATTTAAAATTCCTTCAATCTGAGTAATGATTGTAAGAAATTCTTCCATGGTAACCTTAGTACTTTCCATAGTTCTTTTAAGATGGTGCTTAAAGGATTTAACTCCCGCTTCCCACAGTCCACCAAAATTCGGTGATCTAGGGGAGAATTAATTTCCAGACTATAGATTCTGAGGTGAAATAGCTGGATAACGCCTCATTTGGTTTTCTAATCAATTTCTGTAAACGCCTTAACTCTGTATGAGCCCCCCTTAAAATTTGTGGCATTATCTGTAATGATGGAAGAGTTTTCCCTCTTCTCGAACAAAATCGCTTAAGAGCTGCTATAAAGGCTTCAGACGTCAAGTCTGTCACTACCTCCAAATGGATTGCCTTTGTGGACAAACATATAAATACAGCAACATATATTTTAGAAAAAATGCCCTTGCGTTGACCCTTGAATTGTACATGAAATGGTCCGCAAAAGTCAACGCCACAATTAAGAAAGGGTGAAGTCGGAGTTATACGCTCAGTGGGAAGATTACCCATGACCTGACTTGCTGCAATTGGTTTGTTTTTAAAACAAATCACACAAGCATGAACTATCTTACGAGCCAAGCCCTTGCCGTGAATGGGCCAATATTTCAAACGCACCTGATGAAGTAAACCCTGCGCTCCAATATGTAGGTACTTCTTATGAAAATATTCAAAAATCAATACAGTAACTCTATGAGTAGGAGGCAAAATTAACTGGTGTTTACAATCAAATAATAAATTTGAGTTTTTTAATCTTCCTCCAACTCTTAAAAGAGAATTCTCATCTAGAAAAGGGTCAAGACCTTTTAACTTACTTTGTGCAGGAATAGGTTTACCTCGTCGAAGAGCTGTAATTTCCGAATTAAAGGCAGTTAATTGGGCATGCCGTATAAGAAACTCCTCAGACTTTTCATCTCATCTATAGTTAAATATCCCTGCATCTTATCCTGGGATTTACAATTTAAGATAAACCTGAAAATAAAACTGAGAATTCTGATTAGCTTAGGAAAATTATTGGAAAGTTTCAAAAAAGAGTCTATAAAATGTTCATTCATTGTCAAAGTCAGAACTGGATTCGATGATTGTTTCAGTTCTTTCTCATACTCCTCGTCCGACGAATAAGAAATGCATTCTGGAAATGGAAGTTGCTGATTGAGGAACTCAGGACCTGACCACCACTAACCAAAAGTTCACTAATTTCTGTTCCTCGGGATATTATATCCGCTGGATTTTCCTTTGAGGCAACATGACCCCATTTGAATTGGTTGACTCAAGTTTTGAATTTCAGCAATTCGATTGCTCACAAAAGTTTTGAGCTTGTACGCAGGCGTGTTTATCCATGCTAGAACAATAGTAGAATCACACCACAAATAAACATCATCGATACTTAGCTGCAGAGCTGTTATTACCTTTGACACAAGCCTACACAGAAGTAATGCTCCACACAATTCAAGACGTGGAATTGTAACAGGCTTTATAGGAGAAACTCTGGATTTGCTACAAAGGAGATTGGAATAATTCATTCCATCAGTGGTAATACAACGGATGTAAATAGCTGCAATATAAGCCTTTTCCGAAGCGTCCGAGAACCCATGGATCTCAGTTCTAACGGAATGTTCAGTTAAAACATATCTGGGAATATTCAATTGATCGATTAACTAAAGCTCGGAAAGGAATTTTTCCATTCACACAATTCCTTGGGAGGTAATTCCTCGTTCCAGTCCAGTTTCAGCAGCCATAGTCTCTGCATGAATATTTTTGCCCTCGTTACTACAGGTCCGATGAGACCCAATGGATCAAAAAGCTTAGCTATTTCAGATAACACATGACTTTTAGTAAAGCTATCTTGATTGTTCACAGCAGCTGTTTTGAAAGTCAAGTGATCATCCTTCGGTTTCCAGAGCATTCCTAGCGTCTTCACTACACTTTCTTGAGATTCAAAGGAATATTCCTGTGTTGAAATATCATGCAGCAGCTCAGGATGATTGGACACCCATTTATGTAGCTCCATACCTCCACGACGAAGCATTTGTACTAATTCAGACTGAAGCTTCCTTTGCTTCTTCTAAAGTATTTCCTCCTGTCAGGATATCATCCATATAAAAATCCGTAGATGTGACCGCAGCCGCCCTGGGAAAATAGTCCTCCTGTTCGTCAGCTGCCAATGCCTTTAAGGTTCTCATGGCTAAGAACGGCGCGCTAGTAGTGCCGTATGTAACCGTACGTAACCTATACACTTGAACTGGGCCTCGCGCGGCTTGGCTTCCAAACAATTCTCTGTAAATTTCTTTGCGATGGATGTATGAGTATTTGTCGATACATCTGCTTAATATCGGCACTAAAGGCAAAGCGATGTTTTCTAAACCTGGAAACTATAGAAAAAAGATCTTCTTGAATTGTGCCTCCGTTCAATAGAATTGAATTTAGCGAATAGCCACTGGAATGATTTACACGATGCATCGAAAACAACTCTTAATCGAGTTGAAGTTTTCTCCGGGCGATAAACTGCATGATGGGGAATGTAGTAACAAGTGTCACAGTTATCCACGGGCATAACAGGTTCCATGTGATTTAAGTTTAAATATTCGTTCATAAATTCCTTATACAAATTAGCCATAGTCTTATTAGCATCAAGACGATTCCAAATTGTATTCAGTCTCTTAACAGTAATTTCTTTAGATGAACCCAGCATAGAAGTAGCATCATCCTTCATAGGTAATTTTACTATGTATCTACCTGTTTTATCACGCAAGTATGTTTCGTTAAAATGCCCTTCGCAAAATATTTCTTCTTCATTCTTTACGACTTCCTTACCATCTCCTGGGAAGGATTCTAATTGGAAAAAACTTCTTAATTGCATTATCGAGACTTGATTCCTTTATCAAATAACAATAGGATTGACTATTAACAGCAGGTAGAACCCCTGTCATTAAATAACCAAATTCTGTGTTTTGCAGTATTATGTTTCCATTCAGCGCTTGAACTCTACCTTCCTTCAAGATGTTAAAGAATAACTCATTTCCTATCAATATATTGATTTTACCAGGTGTATAGAAGTTAGGGTCTGCTAATTTAATGTCCTGCGGTATCGTTAAATTAGAAATATCCAGTTGTGTCGAAGGAATTACATCTGTTATTTTTGGAATAATACATAATTCTAAATTGTGAGAAAAAGTCTCTGTTTCGTTCGAAATATGGGCTAAAATCTTCGCTTTGATTGAATGAGCTGAACCACTTATTCCCGAAATGTGCGTTCGGATGGGTTTAGTTTTCAAACCCAAAAATTCTGCGCATTCTTTGGTGATGAGGCTCATTTGCGAACCGCAGTCCAGTAAGGCTCTTATTCTGCAGCGCTGCCCGAACACATTCGTCACATAAATAACCACCGTACTCAGTAAAACAGAATTTCCCGCACCGGAAATGGATGCAAGACTATGTACTGCTTGCTGTATATTTTCACCCGAAGCTTCTTCGGAGAGGTTTGTTTTCCCCTGGTTTGGAGGAAAGCAGGGAGTTTCCGTAGGACCCTGAGGGTCATTGTCCATATGGAGAAGGGAATGATGTTTTCGAAAACAGTGACTGCAGGAAAAGTTTGAATTGCATTCTCCCGAATGAGTTTTTAGACAATTCACACATAATTTTTTATTTTTGACGATAATGTGCCTATTTTCAACATTCATTTGTTTGAACGCACTACATTTAAAGAGGGCATGGTTTCCTTTACAATGGATACATTTTTTGAGTTGGAATGAATTGAATTTATAACAAAACCTTTTGGTTTTGCACCGATACTGGGTTTTTAGGAGGAAATTTGAAAGGCATATTTTTATGAATGCTTTCTAGTACCAAACTTCGGTTTTCAAGAAATTTTTAAAATTCATCGAGTAATGGAACATCTTTAGATTTTAAGGTAAGCTCAAATTGCTTCCGCGTTTCCTTGTCGATTTTCTGAAGGAGAATATTTATTAAAATTGCATTAGATAGCCTATCAAGATTGTACTCTAACGTTTTTAAGTCGCGTAGATTGCGTTTGGTGTGATCTAATAATCGAAGTTCCTTAGGTTATCAGGTTCAATGTTCCGTCTTACTTTCTTCGGGAACATGCAAGGACCTGACCTACTGGTTAATTTACCTACTGGGTTTGCTCAATAATTTCGTAATGATTTCTTCCTAAAAAAACATATCATTCAAGTTTCTTCAGAGTACATTTCAACTTCTGAGTATTATGTCTATGATAGAGGGCATAAGAATTTTAGAAAGGCTAATGTAGGGCATAGCATAAAAAAGATTGGGAAACACTGTGTTATTCGATTCTTCGGAGTATAGTACTATGTTTCTCCACATGCGCAGGTTTTGCAAATCAACTTCCTCCCGGAAATATGCATTCTAACCACAACCGTGTTGACATCGGTTTATGATAACTGACGGGCGTTGTGTGTTTCTATAAAACTATTTAAATATTATTTAATGGCTGGAAGATTACCGGCGATTGTCATAGACAATGGAACAGGGTATGTAAGAAAGTATTTTTTAAAAATTTGAATACCCTGTGGAAATACTCATGTCTGTATGAAATTTCACTTTTTCTAAATCATGTAGTGCTCCACTGTTAAATACAAGAATTATTGATTTTTGTTTCCACTGTCGTTTTAATGTATTTAAATTGAAAATGTTTCAGATAGTAAAATATTTCAAATGGAATTTATAATGTCCAAACTGTGTTTCAGTACTTAGATTTGTATTGGTGATTCTTTGTGTGTGGCTCTTTAATTTCAGTCAGATGTTGTTTCCTGAACCGGTGTTTTGTTAATTACTTAATTTCTAACTTCTGTACTGCATGAAGGTAAAATTATATTTTAAAGTATGCATTTTGTACTGAAATACTTTTAAAAAGTTAAATATGCCAGTGCATCGAAGGATTTTAAATATTTCTGATTGCAAAACAAAAAAGGAAAGAAAATTATGTTATTTTTCATTAATTGCTAATCTGTTTACAATTTAATTTTTCGTTTTCATATTATGTAAAATTATATGCTGAGAAAAGATAACTTTACCTTTTAGAGGATGAAAAGATTTGTTTTTATAAGGTGGTCAGGAAATTTGAGTATTTGTCTTAGATTTTATAAACACACACATACGTATATATGCATATACAGTCAAACTTTGAACTAGTTAAAATCGTATAAAATTAGTTAAAATCGCAACTTTATTTTAGCATAGATTTTAGATAAAATCTTATCAGTTTCAAGGGCAATCACACAATCTTGCTTCTTCAGGCATAAAAAAAAAGTTTGTAAAAGAATTTTTTGAGAATAATGGAATAAAGATCTGGTTGTAGAAGTTCTACTCTTTCTCTCTCTGTATACATATATATATATATATATCTGTGTGCATGTAAGCTATAAAATAGGAAACAAACGTCTAACTGAAATTTGGCAATATTCCTTTTTATTCCTCATTTTAATTTGTTCATTTCCCCTTCCTGCCCTAAAACTACAAGCTGTTTACAAGACAGTACAAAGTCCGAAATCCAGACGTCCATTATCTGCAATGATCTGAAATCCGAACCTCAAAGCCACAAACTTTTTTTTTTTTTTGTATGCTTTATGCATGCGCATTTGATTTTTCCTTCCATGAAAAAAAAAATGTGGAGATTTTCACTTAAAAATTACAATTCTTAATTTCATTTAGGCACTAAATAAAATACCTCGTTATGGAGAAACAATCATGTAAATATAAATTTGTGAGATTAATAATTTAGCTCCGTTGAATGTCTGCTTGGCATACATCTCAGACCGAAACATTCATCTATTTTATATCCCTGATGCCGAGCTGGCGAATCATTATTTGTTATATTTTGCTTTCATCACCACATGTTTATCAATACATGACAGCTTCAGTAATAACTCATGCAGTGATGTCTAAACTTTTTTTTTTATATATTAGTAATTGAATAACAAGAGTATGGCAACCTTTTATGCTCACATTATGCTTGGCGATGATTATAAATTTTTTAATACTCTAAGAAATATTGACAAGGAAAAATTCAACAAAAATTTTTCATATGCTAAAAATAGATTTTGTTATTGAAACTCATAGGCCAAAAGATTACATTTAGTGCTATTTTAATTAAGAATAACTGATATGTTATTCACCATAAACCCAGAAGCGGAAGCAGAATATGTCGGCATGGGACGGCAGAATTTAGGAAAGACAAAATTTTTGGAATTTGGGGAAGCAATTTGGGCAAAATTAAGGGATGAGACGTTTTTTATAATCCAAACTTTTTGTATTCTCGACACAGCAATTACAGCACTTTGAACAAGAAATTATGTCTGTTTATATAATTAAAGAGAAAGTATTAGCACAAAAAAAATGAAGCAACTTAAACAACTTACTTTGAAAGAAATGTTTATGATAAAGTAAACAAATAAATATTAAGCTTTTTTTTTCTTGTAAATGTTGATACCCTTTAGATCATAATTGCTCTTTATTTCATAAATTACAATTTCATACTTTTAATTGTATAATTTCTGCATGCCATCTTACCAGATTTAAATTGATGATTTAATATCTGGAAAAATCCCAAATCCGGAATCGGATTTCGGTCTTTGTACTGTATATGAATCTGAAGTGCCACCTTATGTAAGCTTAGCAATGCGGATATCTTTTATCCAATCAAATCCAATTATTATCAAAATTCCGGTTAAAATTTACTCTACTGTACCCCTTGGCGAAGCATTTCTTTTTTGACGCCAAGATTAGCGCCACGAAGGATCGGCACCAGTTTCAAGATGGGGCCAATCCTTCCACCTGCTACACAAAACTAAAACAAGAAGTCAAACACTTATACAAACTCTGTGTCCATGTACACATCAACCTATTTTTTTTTTAACTTAAAAAAAAAAATCGGAGAACTGCACAAACTAAGCATTGCGCACTGAACTTTGTTCATGTACACATTGATCTATTTTCACGTAAACAAAATCAGGAAGCTAAAACAAAGATAAAACTATCGTGTTAACCAGAAAAAAATTCGCCACTGTCTTAACATACAGAGAAGAATAAATAACCAAAAATACTCAAACAGAGAGGAATAAATAACCCAAAATACATATTTCCTAACATAAAATCATTAAACAACAAATCCTTTAACAAAAATTAACACACAGAAATGAATAAATAAATGAAATGTCAATTTTATATACCTTTTTCTCACATGCATATGTTTAGGCTTCCCACGACCATCTCCTCCATCCTCCATGTAAGCAATTTAATTAAATTTTTTGTCGTTTCGGCTCATTCATATCTATCAAGAATTAAACCAGCTTTCATACAAAAATCAAACATCTTTCATCCATCATCTAACTGATACAAAAACCAGCTTCATACAAAAATCAAACATCTTTCATCCATCATCTAACTGATACAAAAACCTCAAATTTACAATAGTAGCAAGTAAAATAATAGGATGTTCAAAATACAGGACCATACCATGTACTTGCAACCAAATGCAGTAATTCAAAAGAATGGTAACAACCAAAAACCCGGGTCCATACAAAAGGGTTACTACAGTCAAAAGTCTTTAATCCAGGCTCGTCGGGACTTTGGCGATTCCGGATTATCGTTTTTTCCGGATTATAGATCATCAATTTAAACTGGTAAGATAGCATGCAGAAATTACAAAATTAAAAATATGAAATTGTAATTTATGAAATAAAGAGCAATTATGATCTAAAGGATATCAAAATTTACAAAAAAAAGCGTAATATTTATTTGTTTACTTTATTAAACATTTCTTTCAACGCGCGCATGTGTAAAGCATACATTACGCATAGTCGAAATTAGAAAATTGCAACCAGAAAACTATTTGATGTGTATTCGTGTTATTTATAATGACAAGGAATTTGATTTAAATCATATCAAAGATGGAGTACATCGAGATGAAATACTACATTTAGTAAAGAATTATAAGCCAAATAGAATAAAAACATCTGCCCTGAAGATAAGGATAGTGCTGACAGATCAACTTCCAGTTCATTGCACGCCACGATGTTTCTCCCCACCCCCGCAGAGCAGCGTGAAATTGATAAACAGATTTCGGAATGGTTAGAAAAAAAGGATATGCCTTTACCCATTTTTTGCAGCAATTCCACTTTTTGTTTGATGGACATCGAAACATGCTTTCGCTTTCTAGATCCTTTGGCAGCTCCAGAATCGGAAATTCTTTTTGACATAATCGAAAGTTCAAGCTTACTTTTATAAAATTGCTCTAACAGTCTGCAAAAAAATAATAAGCCGGATCCAATTTGAAGATTAAGGAACAACGCAATCAGCAACATTAACTGAAATAGATAATTAGATAAGTTTAGCTTAGCTTATACCGTCCGTTATACATTAAATGTGCATGTGTAAATGCATATGCACATGCGTAAAAGTATTATGCTCATGTGTAATAGCATATGCGCATGCATAAACGCATTAATATTTTTTTATTATACTTTCTATTAATTATAGTTTTTATTATACTTTCTATTAATTTATATTATTTTTTATTAATACTTTCTGCACATGCATAAATGCATTATGCGTTTATGCATGCGCAGAAAGTTTGTAGCTTTGAGGTCCGGATTATGGATGTCCGGATTAACGACTTTTGACTGTATTACAAAAAATATTCCAAATCTAAATTTATCACAACACGTTTGGGGATATTCGCAGAAACAGCCCCTTTTTAATGACAAAAGCTAAAAAAAAAATTTCCCCTAAGGCTAATTTCGCCAACATTATTAACATTAGGAGTACTGAGAAACCTATTTCACGCACTGGGCTTCCAGATTTCCTGAACAACTAATACCACTTGGCAATACCTTGGGAAAACCTACTATCTCTCTCCTTGCTGGCTGAATGCATATTTATTTTGCTGTTTCGCCTTGCAGCTGCTAACATGTGCTGTTCATCTCTCTACTTCATCCATTATCTAGAGATGTGCTTAGCTATACAAAATTGAGTACTTGCTTTCTGCAGTGGCCTTGGTGAGAAACAAATGGTTACCAATTTGTACATTTGTGAGAAATAGACGTAATTGCACTCTGGCAGTATAGTAGTTTTTCATTACAAAATACCCATTATGCACCTTATTTTCAAATGAAATCATAAATTTTAAAATATTTAATTTATTATAGTGCACATTTTATTACTATATTTTGAAAGAATAACATACATAAAAGAAATTCCATTTTTTACAAGCACTTCCTAGTGGCCACAATCCAGCAATTGCTGCTAGATATGCCTCTTAATACAATATCGTGGCTAACTTAGTGCCTGAACGTGAACTCTGCTAAATATTCCAGCTGATGGTGAGCTGTATATATGTGCTTTTTGTTTCACTATTTCATTGATAGCCGTAAGAAAAAATATTTGTGATCAATGAAACCAATTCTCAGCATGAAGGCTTTTCTTCTTTTTATAGCTGCTGACATTGCAATGTGAATAGTTTCTTTTCCAACATATAATGCACATTTTTACAAATTCTTTCGTTTTTCATTTCAAATTTCATCACCTTTTTCTTGTAAAAAGGTATAGCTTTCTTTTCATTTTATGGTAGATTGGAAACATAAACTGAAAAGAAAGCTATACCTTATAAGTATGATAAATATTTGCAGTGAAAAATCATTATAATTTAAAAGTGAAAATATTCGTTAGTCAATGAAATGTGAACTGTGAGCACATAGAAAAATCCTTTATATTTTGAAACCATAGGTAGAAGAAGTGCATATGCGCAGATTGATAACCTTTGAAATAATTGCTGTATTTTATAGTGAAAATTTTTACGAGCCAAGGAAATGTGAACTACAGTCAAAAGTCGTTAATCCGGATTCGTCGGGACTTCGGCGATTCCGGATTATAGATCATCAGTTTAAATCTCAAAAGATGGCATGCAGGAATTCTAAAATTAAAAATATGAAACCTTAATTTATGAAATAAAGAACAATTATAATCTAATGGGTATCAAAATTTACAAAAAAAAGCTTAATATTTATTTGTTTACTTTATTAAACATTTCTTTCAATGTAAGTTGTTTTAAGTTGCTTCGTTTTATGTGATAATACTTTCTCTTTAATTCTATAAACAGACACAATTTCTTGTTCAGTTACAAAGTTCCGCTGTTCAAGTCCCGTTAATTGTTGTGTCGAGAATACCGACTAACTTGTCAATCGAAATTTTTTCGTTTTCACTAACCTCTCTGTCACATTCTTCATGTCTTTATCCATTTTTTGCAGCAATTTCACTTTTTGTTTGATAGACATCAAAACATACTTTCGTTTTGTAGGATCCTTTGGGAGCTCCAGAATCAGAAATTCTATTTGACATAATCGAAAGTTCAGGTTTACTTTTATAAAATTGCTCTTACAGTCTGCAAAAAATAATAATCCGGATCCAATTCGAAGATTAAGGAACAACGCAATCATCAACATTAACTGAAATAGATAATTAGATAATTTTAGATTATGCCGTCCGTTATACATAAAACGTGCACGCAAAAACTTATTCTGCGCTTGCGCACACGCATATGCACAGTGGTAAAAAGTCTTACACACATGTGTCAACGCGCCGCATGCGCAGAAAGTTTTTAGCTTTAAGGTCCGGATTATAGATCATTCTGGATTATGGGTGTCCGAATTAACGACTTTTGACTGTATAAGCTTGAACAAAAAAATCATTGTATTTTAAAAGTGACACTAGAAGAAACGCATATGTACAGATTAGTAACCATAAATGTTTGCTTCTCGTTAATGCAGAAACATGCCAAATCAACATTCTCTGCAAAGCTGCTCTTGACAACAAGTACCCAAAATTGTGAGATTGCATATTATACCCATAATGATATATAATCGACAATATGTATCTCAAGAATGTCCAGCAATAAATCATGTTGTCTTCAGCCATGTCTGTCTGTGAATGTCATCATATATATCTATACAGCTGCCTTCTAATCATCAAGATATTTACAGAAATTATTACATATATATATAGATTCAAACAAATAAAATCGAGGTTTGAGAATAATGCCCAACGTTAACTTGCTTAGAAGGTAATGTTAAAATAGTAGTGATAATTTTAGCATTTGAAAAAAATACAGTTTATTAAATTTTTGAATTACTGTATTTGCTGGTGCTTTTTTTCTTCGAATATAGATCTGGAAAACGAGGTGCGTCTTGTACCTCGATATACTATGTTTTATACGTTGATACTCAATTTATTCAGAGTTAGCATTTTGCAAGTTTGTGAATGGGTCAAAGCTTCGTGGGATGCTGCGAAAACAGAGACAGTGGTTAAATCATTCAAGAAGTGTGGCATTTGTAATGCACTGGATGGTACATAAGACAATTTGTTGTATGGGGACTCGGATGCTGATTTAGAAGATGTTTCAAGTGACTCTTCACTTAGCTCTGGAGACTAGTCTAGGTCCCTTAGTCTGGGTTTTGACAAAGAAGATTCCCTTAGTCTGGGTTTTGACGAAGAAGATTAAAAGGTGTTCTTTCCCAGATAGATTAGGTATTTGCAGAAAGTATTACTTCGTATTTGTATTACTTTATATATTTAAAATACTGTAAATTAATTATAATGATCAGTAAAAGTTTTATCCTTTAAAAATGTGCATAAAAAAAGGGGTGCATCTTATATGCTGGCAAATGCGGTAATAAAATCTTACATATTGTGAAAACTTTAGCATTATTTGTAGTATGTAATTTTTTACATGTTTAACCTGTCAAAAATAGTTTTCGGCCGGCCTATATTTGACGGTGCCCTCGCCAAGTTGTTGTTTCATTTATGGGAACCTGAGTAGTTGAATGTTATGAAAACCCTATTATGATGTAATTGGTTGTGTGAATTTGACTGATGGGAAAAGATTTGTAAGGGCTTGTTTGTGTGTTGGATAGGAAGTTGCTTATTTTGTCGTTTACATTATAAAACGGCTGAATGTGGTAAGATTAATTTGAAATTTCTATAGGATTTGGAATGAAGGGGGGAGGAAGCAAAGCATTAATTGACTGGTGTGTAAATGAAGGCTTACTTAGTAGCATTTATAAGTGTCCTGTTTGTACAAAGGAAATACATATGGTCGAATGTAAAGATCATTCAGATGGGTTTGTCGCGAGAAAGTATCAAATGGTCACCATATAAAGCGTTCCATTAGAAAGAGAACATGGTTTGAGGAAAATTTTTTGATGCTGTTTAGGAATATTGTGTGCCACACACTGAAGACATAAAAATTTCTGAATAAGGTAGGTGGCTATTTCCTTTGTGTAGTGCATAGTGCTTTTTTATGTTATTTCATTGTTTGATTTAAAGTGGAGTTTATTGAGATTATATATTTTTTGTGCAAGATCCCGAGTTTGCGCAATTCTGTGTTTTTTTTTTTTTTTTTTTTTTTTTTTTTTTTTGAGTGAAAATAGTTTGTGAATGTGATATACATGGATACCAAGACTTGTTATTTTGGCTTTGTTTAGCGGCGATTTTTTTGCACGAAAATCGCCGCTAAACAAAGCTAAAATAACAAATCAAAGAACTGCATAAACTCTATGTCTATGTACCGCCAAGGTGGCACCGTCAAATATAGTTTTACCTAGTTTTCTACTATGCTTATACAGTTTATTTTTGTATAATAAATCTAACAAAGTAAAGAATAGTCATTTTTCATCTTACTGCAAGAAAAATGCAACTTGAGTTATATGTCTTTTCATGTAAAACATATATTGTACTATTTTATACACAAAATATTTTGAGCTAGGAATATAATATATTAATAATAGATTCCATATTTTTTAGATATACAAAGCTTGGATTTGCTGGCAATAGGGAACCACAGTTCATTATTCCTTCTGGTAAAATGATTTTAATTACTCCCAAATGTTATCAGTTGGGTATATATAATTCAATTGTTTATATATATATATATTGTACTTTTTGATGTACAGGATGCCAATCATAATGATGCACCAAAGCACTAAATATTTGTATCTGTTTATTTCACTTTGTGAATAGCTATGAATTAGCAAGTGAGCATCAAGATTATTATGAATAATTGATTTTCTCCCAAGCCTTATATTGTTCTTTGTTGAAGTGCTGATATTTGTTAAAGAAAAATTAGTGGGGATTACTCAATTTGCCAATTGCCAGATGATGTATGATTATAATTAAGAATTCTTTCAAAAGAAAGTGTCATCCATACGGACAAAACTTCTTTGTCCACTATAAAAGGCGAATCGCTTTTCGAATTGTTACCATCAAATATTATTACTCTGTATTTTTTTAAGGAAAATTAATGATGAAGTATGCATGTATGTGTGATACTTATGCTGTGAGTACCTAGGGCCATCTAATTTTGAATAACCTAGTCCTCCATCCGAACATGTGCACCTGGAAGCCCGAATTTTGAATTTCATATTTTGTAAAACTTTCATTTATAATGCGTTTCTGATTAATGAACTTGCCAATTTGGAAGCAACCAGTGGCGACACTGTACGGAATAAAACATTTTTATCTCCAGCTTGTGAGATTATCTATCAGATATTCTAAAGATATGTTGTTTTTAAATATTTTGTAAGTTGCTGTTGAATTGAATTTTATGTGACATAAGTGCAAAGAGCTTAACTTGAAGTTAATACATAAAACGTTAACAGTAAAAAGATAAGGGAAAGTTTTGCAAGAAAACTGAATATTGATACAAGGAACTAAGAAAAGACTGAAAAAAATGTAAAAAAAATGCCAACTCTCAATGCAGGATCAGGAATTCTAAACATGTGATATTATGCTGCTTTTAAAATTTTTGTAACTTTGTTCTTGACTTGTATATGGCACAAGTGGGAAGAAAATGATGCTTAATTAATAACACAATATATTATTAATATAATTATATAATTATAAAAGAAATGGGTTAGCGGGAGTAAGTGCAACAGCAGACTAGTACATGCCAACTCAGCAAGAGCATAGAAAAACTAACGAACGCTACTCTTCCGTTAGAGTGGCATCAGTTAAAAATGAAGGAAAATATAAGAAGAAAACAACGCTACAACACACCAGCAGACTAGTACATGCCAGCTCAAGAGCATAGAAAAACTAACGAACAGTACTCTTCTATTGGAGTGGCATCAGTTAAAAATGAAGGAAAATATGAGAAGAAAACAATGCTACAACAACACACCAAATATTGTGGCTTGAGAAATTAATATTTGAAATATCAAGGCTTGAGATTTCTAGTTTTCATTCGAAATATCATCACCTTATCGCCCCTTTTTTTTTTTTTTTTGTGTGTGTGTGTGTGTGTGTGATATTACACAGTTTGGCAGTTACTTTATGACAAAGAGGCTGCCATCCTTCAGGATAAAGGAATAATTCATAGCAATTGACTTTGTTCTCAAAATCATTTGATAAAGTTAACTTTTGACTCAAACAAAGCTCCTATATGCCGTTGTTACCATAGACCTGTTATATACTAGACGGAGCATCGCCATTCAGAACCGGGTGAAAAAGTGGCACAGGAATGAGCTGTAAGAGTTTGGGCATGAAATGGAACTGAATCCAGACTTTGGCGTACTATCGCCATGGCTGGCGATTTTTTTTCCTCTCTTTTCTCTCAGTTCGAAATGCGAACTTGGAAAGGCGTCATTTCGCAGAAGCTGCCGTTGAATTTGCAGAAGACGTTAGATCGATAAACACCAGCCAAAATTAATAATTTTCCTAAAATTGGACACTTTATTTTAAAATTTAACTTTATTTTAAATTTTAATTTTTAAAATTAAATAATTTTCATGCTGTAGAATAATATTTTGCAATATGTCCATCGGCGTCTACAAAATTTAAATAAAACGAAAAAACTGGAGAGAACAAACTAAATAATAAACTAATAACTAAATAATAAACTAATAGCAAACTAAAAAATAAATAAATAAAAAAGGCCTTTTTAGTACTTAGGACAGAATAAAAAATAAAAAAATAGATAACATAAGAAGAATGAGTGAAAACAGAAAATAGTACAAAAAAGAAAATTTAATATTAATACGAAAAGGAAATTTAATGTTAATACAAAAGGGAAATTTAATATTAATGCGAAAAGGAAATTTAATGTTAATACGAAAAGGAAATTTAATGTTAATACGGTGTATTACAGAGAACAACAGAGTAGGCAAATCAAAGTGAGAAAGATATTAAATAAAATGAACTAAAAATGAATGTCAATATAGCAGATATAAGTTAAAAGGAAGAGCGAGAGTGGTAAATAATTAAATTATGAAACAAAAAGGTGGTAAATTAAGACTTCCTTTTACTAGCAAATATATATATATATTATGCACGTTGCACAATGTAGTCGCACTTATTTTAAATAATTTTAGAAAGTAGAATTTAAATAATGTCATTATTTTTAAAAAGAAACTTAAAACTATTAAAGTTTTGAAATTTAACTGCTATATAATTGCTATTTCTTAATACTTAACAAATTCTTAATATTTGAATAAATGCCAGAAACATGATATAAGAAAGAAAATACGTGATTGAAGGTAAACAAATTTGTATATTTGGATGCAAGAAAAGGGGATAAAATAAAGTCATTCATGTCCCCCCCCAAAAAAAACATAATTTTATGCAGTTCTTACACAGTGTTACATCAACATTACCAAGTATTAAATACATACATTACTACTTCGCACGTGTCCGCATGAGCAAACGCATACAAAGAGATATATAAAACAAACACATTCAAAGCAGTCTGTTGGCGTATAAAAAATGTCGCCAAAGCAGAATACTAGACTAATTAAAATTATATTGTATTACTAAAATTTAACATTTTTTTCAGAAAACAGTTATTAGAAACATACATATATATTAAGATACTTTTATTTAAATGTTATTTCAAGTATGCATATATATATAAAATTAGAAAATCTATTTTTTATTAGAAAAAGGCAAGTAGAGTGGATAAAAAAACCTCTACATTTTATAAAATTAGGTTTTAAAACATTAGAAAAAGCTCAGTTGTGAAATGTTACTCCTCCATCTTTCACATATCTGGAAGTACATCCATATGCGGAGCACGAAAGTATCATTCTTGAAGTCCGAAACAATGCACTTACACGCAAAACACTTCACAAATTCTCCATAGAACTGTAATGGTAAGGAAGATTCGCGGGAAATACGATTTGGGAAATGTTCTAAATGTCACGTGGTTCGCATTCCTGTTCCCCTTCAGGGTTGCCATTTCTATCTCTAGTACATTACAGCTCTATGGTTGTTACATATGTTCTTGCTGTGAGAAAAAAAAGGATCGAGAATCAAAACATGGTTTGAAGGCTCGTACCTTTTTCTCCTCAGTGTCATTCGTTTTATCTATGTGTGGTGTCAGGAATTGATGCCGATTGAATTTTGCCAACTTCACTTAGAAATCAGCCATAATACAATAGTAAAATTCAAATAATTATTTGAGGGAGGTATGTGCAAATAGTTTGATATCTGGTAAAAGAAATAAAATCAGTGGAGCCAACAAAATCATAGAAACAGAAGAAAGTCTTTGCACAAAAAGAAAAAAACAAAGTTGGATGTGTTCCTCCAGAATAATGGGTATTCGGAGAAGACAAAGAATGTTTTCTGGTCGCCGTTCCCGATCATTGTGCTACAACATTGATGACCGTCATTCAGGAAAATATCGCAGTTGGCAGCATTATATTTTCTGACTGCTGAAAAGGATATAAGAAAGAGGAATTAAGAAATGCTGGCACAGTTATAATTTTGTAGACCCTAAAACCGAATGCCATACCCAACCTAAGGAAATAATAAAAGTCAGTGGGGCACTACTTGTCACTATTTAGTGTCATATTTGATAGAATTTATATGGTATCTGTTATATTCAAAAACTGGAATTTTTCTATAGTATTGAATATTTAGCATTTTATACTACCTGTTTATATTAAATTTCATTTTTTTTTAAATTTATGCATAAATATTCTTTATGCCAATTGTTTAGATTAAATTTCAGTTTGTTTTGTTATTTTTTATTTGTGTACAGAATATTCTAGGTTAAAAAATTTAAAGGAACAATTTACTTTCTTTAAGAATTGTGAAATTTTAAAAATTCACTTTTTGCAGAACAATTTTTTGAGTCTTTTGAATTATTATTTCATAATTTTATACTTGGCAACAATTGATGGCCAACAAAAGTGGCGCATTTTTAACTGAGGCGGCTCTAACAGAATAGTACCTAAAAAATTCTTATAAGTGGTCATTAAAATCTGAATCCTTTCAGATTTGCCCCCCCCCCTTTTTTTTTTTTTTTTTTTTTTTTTTAAGTATATTTGGATGTAATAACTTGACAATATATACAGCTGTATATGTTATCAAAGTTGCTATTCTTGTGTGCAGTTAAATTTTATACCAACATTTATATTTGTTTCCAAGTGTTGCTTGACAAAACGTACCAAATATTTTTGACATCAAAATTGCAAAATGTTCTTTTAGTCTTAATATTTATTTCCTTAATATATTAAAAGCAGATATTTTTCATGTAGCTACTTCATCAACCTTTAATATTTTTTTCCATTCTATTTCTGAAGCTATAGCAATAAGAGAAACTGCAAAAATAGGAGATCAAGCAATAAGGAGGTTAGGTCGTGGCATAGATGATTTAGATTTTTACATTGGAGATGAAGCTATTGATTCTACAGGATATGCAGTCAAGGTAACTTTCATAAAATTTTAAAGTTTTTTTTTAATACTTAAAAGTCTTGTGATTTTATGTACTTATGCTAGATCTTGAGTTTCAAATAAAAAATTAGTGCAGAAACTTTGATACTTTTCTGATAATGAAAATGATATATATAATTTTGATGATTTAATATAAATTTCTGATAATAAAAAATATTTGGAACTATGTGTATTGAACCTATAACATTTTTGTGCTCATTTCAATGAATTTTTCTAATTTAGTACCCTATTCGCCATGGTATTGTAGAAGACTGGGATTTAATGGAACGATTTTGGGAACAGTGTATTTTTAAATACCTTCGAGCTGAACCAGAAGATCATCATTTTTTATTGGTACCATTTTTTAAAAAAATTTTCTCATTTGTAATGCTTATTTTCACTTTTTGCAATGCTAATATTGCCTTTAGTTAAAAACATTACTGTAAATATAAATTAATACTTTCCATTGTAAATATTGAAAATATTTCGATGAGTAAATATTGAAAATTAATTCTAGAAAATGTCTGGCCTAAAATTTATGCAAATATTGGGTCATCCAAACAGTTTTTTTTTTTTTTTTTTTTTTAAACAAATGAAGAAATTTCATTGAATCACATCAGCACTTATGCTCGTTTTCCTGTATTATTTATACCGTTTGTTTCTTGCACAAATTGGCAATTTGTATGAATGTTTTTTTAATAAAAAACTAGTAACAGTTTAACTTTATACATATACATTAACCAAATACATTTGCATTTTGATGAAATCAGATTCCTTTTTAATTTGAGTATTCTTTTTGATGTTTTCCTTTAATTATAAAAAATTATTGATTCCACCTTTCTATTGTAGTAAATATTTTATCATTCAGATTGTATCTTTTTTCGTTTTTTTCCCCCTTAAGTTTTTGTGATAACTGATTTTATTCTTCTTTTTTATTTATGTATTTTTTAAATATTCTCCTTTAGTTTAAAAAACTGTTGTTGATTATATCTTCATTGTATTGCACTGGATTCTGCATCCTTCTGATGGCAGTATTAATGCAGAATTTTAGAAAGCAAGTGAATTACATAAAATGCACTGAAAGTTTTTTGCAAAGGGCTACATTCCACTTGACACCTTCTTCCTGATTTTTTTTTTTTTTTTTTTTTTTTTTAAGCTAATTTCTTCTTACTTGATTTTTTATCATAGCATTCTATTGTTAAAATTTACTTTGACAGAGACTTGAACTCGGGCTCCCTAAGTCATTTGTATTTCCACTACATTTTGAAGTCATTGATCTCTTTATCTAATCTTCACATTAGCTTGCTGTTATTAAAATTTACATAGATCGAGACTTGAACAAAGGTTCTTTAATTCTGGAATAGTATTTCCACTGTATTTTAAAGCCATCAACTTCTTTTACATGCGGGTTAATGAGCATAATCAGTTCTCGACAATATGGATAAATAAAGAGTATTGTTTTAAAGATAAATATTGTATATCCTGTTACAAGTTATGCCAAGAGGACATTTTAGCAGATAAACTAGAATTTTAGTTTCTCAAACCAGGAATACAAATAATGGCCTAAGTATAAAGGCTTCTCTTAAAGCTATCTAATTGAAAGCATTTTAATTACATTTTTTCTCTCATATTTAATTCACTTTAATTACTTTTATTATAGTGTAATAAGTTTTAATACTTTTATACGGAGGCTGTTCGCACATTTTTTAGACTATTTTGGTAAGTGGTAATAAAAAATCGTTTGCTTCAAAAGAAGTAATTGCAATTGTATTATGTTTTTAAAAATCAAAATTATCGTCTGTGGCTTGAAAGTTTTGTTTTTATTCAAAATGGCGAATTTAACAAAGCAGTGGTTCGAAGGCTACATTTAAGCTGTTTCCGAAGAGAAATATGCATACTCCGTTATCCAAAAACGATGTGAGAGTCCTGGTTTTGTGATATCTAAGGCGTCAATAGGTAATATCATCAACAAGAAAGGAAAAAAACATCAAATTGGAGCCTCAAGTGGGACAAAAATTCCAAACAAGTATCCAAGGAAAAAACGGACATCTTCGACTATTGCAAAGGTTAAAGAAATGTTCTTAAAGGTTAATGTTAAAAAAAAAATTCCACTAGTCAAAGGACAGTTGCAAAATCATTAAAATGCTCGCTGTCCACTGTAAACAAATGATAAACGTTGATTTAAATCTTAAGAAAGCGAAAAAACGCAATGTGCATCGTCTTCTTCCAAAGCATATCGCTCAACGCAGGACACGCTGCAGAATTCTATATGAGAAACACTTATCCAAAGAAAAATGGAAAATGATTGTCACAATAGATGAAGCATGGGTGTATTTAAATGATTGTAACAAAAAAAGAGCCATTTATTATCATAAAAGGGGAGAAAACATTTAAGTACATGGTTCAAAGAATCGAAAGAAAGTTTTTCTAAGGGATTCATGATCGTTGCTGGTTTTTCTTATAATGGCAAGTTAGAAATAAAGAGAGTGCAAAAAGATGTCAAGATTAACTCCAAATACTATCGGGAACATATTTTATCGCCAATTTTTCTGAATGAAATACCATCGCTTTACCCACAGTGCCATCAATCTGTGAGACTCCATCAGGACAAAGCTAGCAGTCACACATCAAAATCCACTGTAAATTTCCTAAAAGAAATGGAACAAAAAACTGGTATCAAGGCCATACCCTTCACTGATATCCCTACTAAATCTCCCGATGTGTCACCTATGGATTTTTGTGCTTTCGGACTTTTAAAAACTGCATTATCCAAATGTTATCCCCAAACCCTAACAGGACTCTGGAAAGCTGTTTGTGAGGAATGGGATAGAATACCTCTTCTACCACTTCAAAAGGCATTATTATCCTGGAAATTGTGGTGTCGAAAGATATTTTAGAATGAGGGATGTCAAATAGAACATTTAAAACACAAGAATTTTATGTAATTTAGTTTTGTGAATATAATATACATCGTCTAAAAAATGTGTAATCAGCCTCTGTACAATAGCACCAATATTTCTCATTTATTCTTATATTAATTGTAAAATTTCAGATGTATTTATAGTTATTGTTGATATAACGATGCTTGGGAAAACTAAAGATTTTAATGATATTTTATTTTACAGACAGAACCTCCTTTAAATACTCCAGAAAACCGAGAGTATACTGCTGAAATAATGTTTGAATCATTTAATGTTCCTGGATTGTATATTGCTGTTCAGGTATGTTGATTTTATAATATTGAATATTATTGCATCAGGTGCTTAACATTCAAGGAAAATTTATAAGCTGCTCTTACGTTGAACATTTATGTACCATTCTCTATCTTTTCATCCAGTTTCTTATAATCAATTGCTGCATATGTAGGTGGCTAGAGTGTTATGTGTATCAGATAAACTGTGCTTTTTTCAAGAGTTGATGCCACATTTATGGCCTTATTTTACTGTTTTGATAGAAGCTTTCTATATTTCCCATTCACATTGAGAACCATGTTTTATGGTTTAATATAAAGTATAAACAGTTTAGTAGCTGCAGAAATAGAGCAGCCAGCCTTTATACCATTTACAATCTGATCAGGTTCAAATTCACTGATATTCCTGCTTTTGAACACTTACATCCGAAACTCAAGCTTTATTATTAGGAATATACATCTCTGTTTTACATTATTTTGTATTTTGAATATTTATAAAACACTGAAGAACTATATTATGTGAAAATAGAGGGTAAAGTGTTGTTCTGTAAGCTTGACTATTAAAACATGAACTTTTCAGCACAATGAAAGAAAATATTATTGCTTCACTGATACAAATATAGTAATGATCGTGATGATTTGCCAGGACTGGCATTAGGCTTGTCACCCATTTACTTCCTAAATTTTGGTGCCTTCTTTGATTGCAGCATTTCTGCATTGGCACCTGGTCTTGAGCTGAATCAAGTGTTGCATCATCCTTGAAGAATGTGTTATGCTATTGTCCTCTTCTATTCAAGATGTATGGTGACAACTCCAATATAATAATGCTTTTCTGCTCTTAATGTTCAAAGCAAATTGAAGTCAGGGCTCCTAGTTATAAAGCCTTTTTGTGTTATCTTTCTTCTTACAGTACTCTCATACAGGGGATACAGCATACTGGTGCCTAGTCCCCTCTGTGCAGTCTCTGCAAATAATAAATTTTGCTGCCTATGATTCCCTGAATTCTATAAACTTTGCTACTTCTAGGTTTTGCTGTCAAGTGACTTGAATTCCTAAAAATTTTGCCATTTCTAAATTTTGCTGCTCAGTTCTCTTAAATTCTAAAAATTTTGCCACCCACTGTGGCTATACGGCACCAGTTTTGTGGGTTGCAATTTTATAATTTATTTTATGAAATTGCCAGGCCCTGCATTACTGATGCAAATGTGTATGGGAAAATAAAAATATCATAAATTCTGCTGTGAAACTTCACCTGCCTTTACAATGAAGTTTCATTTTGAAATTCTAGTGTATTTCCTTACAAGCTATCTTCATATTTATTGCTGCAAAATCCAAATTATAATAAAATGCTTCAATAGGCCTTAATGAATCAGCGTTATGTGATACTTTTTGCTATTAAATCTTAATCATCTGCATCGCATTTTACTTTTTTTTTTTTTTTTTTTTTTTTTGAAGTTGCATGTATTATGTGTTAGTTTCTATATGGAAATGTATTTCAGCTGAGGAAATACATTTTCTTTTCTTATAAAATTATTTAAAATAATAAAATTTTCTGTATACTTTTACTATTATAATAGGACAGTTGGTTTGTCTGCTGTCACAATCCTTGTTATAGACATGTATGAATTTGAAGGTTTCTCATGTAATTATTTTAGAATATTTAAATGTGTATCAGTTTTCTCTCAAAAATTCACTTTACACTTTTCTTTTCCGAGTCCCCCCCCCCAAAAAAAAAAGTCTTCTGGTTTTTTGCTCTTTCAGATTTGGTGGGATTTCCCCCCCCCCCAGATTTTTTAGACCTTAGACCTTGAAAAGTTGAGACCTACAATTTCCAGAAAAATGCGATGGAATGAAACTTGTCTTCATGATATTAACATGTTATGGATGTGTTTTATAGGAAATTTGTGATGAATTCCTTATCTTTTGGAGAATTTTGGAAAAACAGTGAAAAAAAATTATTTAAATTTTCTCGTTTTAATCCCAGAAGTATATCTCTTAACATGCTTATCTTCTCATTATTTTCTTATCTTTCCACTAGATACAAACATTGAAACTATTGAAGAAAGCAAAGAATTTTTTTTTCCTCCAATGGCGGGCCCACAGCCGACTTCAGCTTGGCCACGACTAAGGCCATAAGTCGTGGTTAGTTTATTATGGAGGCACCTAATGGGTGGTTACCTTTGCCTCTTATGAAGGGATGGACAGTTACAACCATGCTTTCTCTGGAATTCGAACCTGTGCCCTTTGGTATGACAGTCAGCTCCCCTAACTACTATACGGTCTGGGCGGCTGCAGAGAAATTGAAAACCGACAGTTTATCGAGATTTATCATATATGTCTTTGTGTCTACCCTAAATTCTAAAAATTTTGCAATCTCTAAGTTTTGTTGCTCCATGCTTCTCTAAATTCTAAAAATTCTGTCACACTGGCTGTAGTGCCAGCTCTGAACTTATATCATTTCATATTTATTCCCAATACTCATATTATTAAAGAAAGAAAATTAGCAATTTATTCTATACATTCTAAAGTACAATTTGTTCTTCAGAATGCCAGAAATTCTTTTATTTAAATATGAAAATTCTAAAATGAAGAGAGAATTATTCTGCAAAAGTCAATAGTTGAAACATTTATAAATTAGGAGATGAAGCAAAGTAGTGAGACATTGATTAGCATACTGAAACAAATAAACTTAGATGCTGAAAAGGAAGAAAATTGATGTAAATTAATTAAAATATCTGAAAAATTTTCAAATTTAAAAAGATTCCATGAACATTTTGTTATTTGTTGTTGTAACATTTTGTTTGATGTTGCTACAAAACATAAATGTTACATAAATGCAACAGAAGACTTCTGTGTTTCCTTTTTTTCTAACATATGCCTCATGTTCCTTAACGCCAAATTTTAAGGCTCTCTTAGTTTGACCAATGTAAATTAAACCACATTGGCCAAGAATCCTGTAAATATTCAGAATTATATCAGCAATTCATATCTGGAATGAATTGCTGATATAATTCTGAATTCATATCTGGAATGGGTCCTTGAGTATGAAACTTGGAATTTTATTGATGGGAGAATAAACGACCCGAAAGATAAATTTCTATAAAATATGTGCAATTTTATATTCCAGGAATTCATATCTGGAATGGGGTCTTTGAGTATGAATCTTCGATTTTATTGATGGGAGAATAAACGACCTGAAAGTTAAATTTCTGTAAAATATGTGCAATTTTATAGCTAATTGATGGAAGATAGTTTATCTTTTGATAAATTAACACTAGAAATATTAACTATTGACTTAACATTTACAATGGGAAGATTTTTTTTGAACTACTTAAATTGGAAGACTATAAAAGAAGTTTTTCAAATTTAAATGCAAGGGCATTTTTATGACAGTTGACTGCATTCTCAGTTCTAGACCAAAACTTTTGTTCAATGGCAGTAAATTTTGGATAAGAATTAGTGAGTTCCAAATGAAGCTTATATAGCTTATGTTCAATGTGCGAACCCTGAATTTAGATTATTTTCAGAAGTATTGAAAGTGTGATATTTTAGTCTATTTCTTCCTTTTATATATTCATATATTGCATTTTGCTATAGAAATTATGTTGTGCAGCATCTATAATGCTGTTGCTATTTATTAATTTGAAACAGAGTTTCTGTCCAAGGCAGTGGTGTTTTGCATAATAAATTATTACCTATCCATTTATATTTTATTTAAGATTATGCAGTAAAATTGTTTAATGATTTATAAGAGAAAATGTTGGCAAAATTTGTTAAAGTTTGTACAGTTACATTTTGTATGTAGTTTCTGCGTAGGGCAATCCAAAATATTGTATGATTTTAATTATGTCCATGGGGATATGTTTTCCCTCGTCTCTGTTTTTGCAGTTGAATTAAAGGAAATTACATTCATCCCACATTTAAAGTAAAATATATAACTTTTTCTATAAAAATTAGATTGTGTTAAAAGAAATATTTTTCTTTCAACTTTTGCATTAATATGTAATATTTTTTGGTATAGGCAGTATTAGCTTTAGCTGCATCCTGGACATCCAGGCAGATGGGAGAGCGAACTTTGAATGGCTTAGTAATTGATTCTGGTGATGGTGTTACTCATTGTATTCCAGTGGTATGTGGTAACTTTATAGAATTCAGATCAAGTAAAAAATAAACAGTATTTCATTAACTTATTTCAAATTTTTAGATTTATTATGCATTAATGCGAAAAAAAGTGTTTTGTGTCTCTTAGGCTGAAGGATATGTTATTGGAAGTTGTATAAAACACATTCCAATTGCTGGTCGCAACATTACTTACTTTATTCAGAGCCTATTGAGGGAAAGGGAAGTTGGTATTCCTCCTGAACAGTCATTAGAAACAGCAAAAGCCATTAAGGTAAATATCACTAGTCTTGATTTTTTTTTTTTTTTTAAATTTCTTTTAGAATTTTTTAAAATAATGTGTTTGTACTTTATAATCATGTGCACTTTACATATCTATGGTTATAGCCCCTTGAGCATTATATGTGTAAAATTCTATACAGAAAGATGGTTTTCTAATTCATTACATGCAAAAATTTTTGCCAGATTCTAATGCATCCGATTTCAGCTTGGATATATATTGGAAAAAAGGAGTCAAGGTACAAAATTAAAGGGTAATTTTCAAATTATAATAAAGAAAATACATTATCTTTTTGGAAAATTTTTAAATTATAGGATAAAACCCATAATGCTAAGAGGGTTAAATTTTGAACACATGCATATGAAATTTTTAAGGTTCTTTCTGATTATTCACCCCCTTCCTCTGGAACAGTATTCATGAAGCAATACATTATGGTGCCAAAATAGTTATTTTAGTAATGTCAAAATGAGCTGCCATGACATCATCAAAATATATTTTACATGGCAACTCAGGTCTGCTTGCAGCAGGCAAGGGTTTCAATACACATTGCTCATATATCATTGAATTAGACTTATCACCTTCCAGGGCTTAATTTCTAAAATTAGAAGTGCCGGAGCCCTATGGAAGACCGTCAGCAAAGAGGAACAAGAGTAAATAAATAAATAAAATGACTATTAAACTCATTAATAATTTTAAAATTAAATAGTTAATTATTATCAAATTAATTAATAATTAGTTGATTGATGTTTATTAATGATTTTTTAACCAGTAATTATTATATAATCAATTAATTGTAATTTAATTGATAATTATTAGATAATTAATTATTATTTATTGAAATAATTAAATAATTAACATCAAATTAAATGTAAAGAGATAAATTAAAATGTAAGCAATTTTTAATATAATTTTATTGTTAAAAATAAAATTTTTGAGATAAAATTTCTACTGAAATTGTTATTCAATTACATAAAAGAAGCGCTGCAGCCTTTTTATTTAAGGCTCCGGTACTAAGAAGCACAAGAGCCGGGATCCAGTGAGCTCCAGCCCAATTTAAGCTCTGGTTTTAGGGGGGGAGTTCTTTCATCATCACAAAAATTAAATATACATAAAGTATAGCTGATGAAAATTCAGATAATGCTAAAACCAGGGGCAAAACAGAATGAGGGTATGAGTGGGTGGAAACAAAAAATGAGGGGAATCTTGGTGAGAGAGAACGTTCTCTTTGACCCTCTCTGCTGATATAATTATAGCAATCAAGCAGATGTGTGTCAGGTGTAAAATGAGTTCTAAATCTGACTCCTAAACTTGCTGCTTACACTTCCCCCCCACACACACACACACAAATTTACATTCCTATGAGGATAACTAACTGTAACCATCGATAACAATACACTAGATAGGATGTTATGTCTAGACATTTACGCATTCCTAAAAAAATCCCCCACTTTATTGCTCTTCTTAAAGGGAAAGGTTTCCGCATGTGAGTGAGGGGACTTTAATTGAATGTTTCATGTTCATGAGTTTGTATTTCTAGGGAATTCTAGGGAGTATTGCAAGGTCTGCTTATTGTTAAATTAAAACGTTGCAAATTCTAATTTTTTTCCCCTAAAATTGTGGTTTAGTTTTAGTACTGGAGATCATCTTATTTAGGGCTCCGGTGCGCTCCGGCTAGAATTGTAATTTATCTTAAAAATTGAGAAATACCAGAGCCGGGCTCCGTTGGGCTCTGGTGCAATTTAAGCACTGCCACCTTCCAAATTCGATGGTTCTTTTTCTAATACTGTTTTTGCATTGAGTATTTTTTTCTTTATAACAAATCGTAATGGGACTCTGAAGTAGCTGGCTGATGAAAAAAATGTTGCTTTTCTTCAGAAATGTAGTATTTTTCTCAACTGTAGAAAATGCAAAAATTCACATTGTACTTCTTAAATATTCTAATTACTTAGAAGCTGGTGTATTTCTTAGGCAATCAAATTTTAAAGAACTGCTGTGTCAAAAATTGCAAGCATTGCTGTATAAATGGGGAAAACAATGCCATATGCAGTGCCATATTTATGCATTTCTCTTTGATGTTGTTTTAAATGGAAACATGCATACAATAAAGATGTAGAAAAAATTAGGTAAGGATTTATTGGAAAAAGTAAGTGCTTAGCTTCCAACTCTGCTAGTTTTACCATTTCCAAATCTTCTAGTTCTTTTGCTCCATTACAATGAATCGAGAGTGAATTAATTACCTTCGGGGGAACTCCCGTTTCAACAAAATGTTTAACAGAAGTCCGTGTCATGCCTAGTAATTTTATTTTCTGCATTCACAATCAAAGCCTTTCTCATGTTCTGCCCCGTGTCAACGAAAAGAAAAAAAATGTGATTTAATTAGTGCTTTGAGGTTAACAATAGAAGTATATTCAGATCAACTATGATCAGCATTCCATTCATTACCCTATATAAAATGTGTTTTCAACTACCATATGCGAGATGCTTTTGTGCACTTCCATTTAGATATTGAAAATTAACAGAGGTTATCAATCATAGTGTCACTTACTTCACATGTGCTGAACCATAGGAAATGCTTCTCTGTTGCTTCCAATTGCTGCATTTTTAATATGTGGCCTTTTAAATGTTTGTAATTATTTTCTTTTGGTCAGAGTGTATAAAGTCGCTGTCCCCCTCTTCTATACAAAGCTGCTACTGAGTTAGTAGGGTTTAAAAATTGCATGAAGTGTTTTAATTCAAGTTTTTTCAATTTTATTTTAATATTTTGAGAAAACATAAAACATAAGTGTTCAAAAAAATGAAAAGAAAAGTATTCTGATTTTTTCATTTGATGGTTTCATATTTATTTTGTTTGTTAATTTTATTTTATATTTTTTGCTAATAGAGTATGTTTAAATTTTTTCATAACTATGAACTTATTAATTAATTAATGTTATTTTGAGATTTAAACACATAATAACCCTTTTTTTATTATATTTCATTAAAAGATAAATGATTTTATTAATGAATAAAGATTTCATTAAAATGAAAGATTAAAAATTTTATGGTATTAGAAATATAAATTTAAATAACTATTTTTGTAAAGAATAGTAATATTAAAGAAAAGTAAATAAAGAATTTTAATATTATTTTCAGGGGAGATAATTAAATTCTAATATCATTAATTATTATACTTGTGATTTATTTAAAAATGTTGAATTAATATTAAGAAATTTTATAATTATTCTGAGAATGAATGAAGTAAAAATATAAAAAAAATAAGTGAAATAAATGCTAGCAAAGAAAAAGAAATGGATGTAAAATAGTGTTAAGTGTAATAATATAGAAAATGTTTAATATTTTGATAATGAATATAAAAATATAAATAATTTTAGAAATTAAATAGTTATAATAAAATTGATTATGAGTAATGTAATTAGAAAGTGACATTAATACAGATAAATAATATGAAATTATTGTAAATGGTACTCCTGGTCAAAAGAATCAAGTAGCAAATGGGACCTTCAACAGGTGGAACATGCTCTATTTCTACCATCTAAAACCTTCCTTTAAATCCTTTTTCTATTTATTTGAATATACACAAACTAGGAATTAGGATGCTGGCAGACAAGCGAAAAAGACGGTAAAGGTAATTAATATAAAATAACTGGTTAGTAAAATTAAATGTATACTATACTACTCACTCTGAATTAAGATTACATCCTGGATGTTAGACACTTGGCTTTCTGTACTCATCCTAGCTGGACTACTGCAAGCTGCTTCCCTTTTTACTGCAAAGCTATTGAAAATATAAATGTCTTAAAGTAGACATGAATGAGGGTGCCAACTTGTTTGTGGCTGGCTTATATTATATATTTGGCTTCAAACATATCTTTTGAAAATTAAGATGAATATTTATTCTGCTTTACTATGGATAAACATTCTATGCCAATCAATATTTCTACAACATCATTACATCTAAGTTGGCTTCATTACATATATATAATATATATATATTATATGTATATAATATACTATATCTATATATATTATATGTATATTAATATAGCTATGATAATATATATTAATATATTTGAATAATTAATATACCTGAATTTTTTTCAAAATTTTAAGTATTTCTAAAGCATTTAATTATAACAGTTCATCTGAAATTTTTTTTTCAAAATTATCAGGTGAACTTTTATATAATTAAATACTTTAGAATAGTTCATCAGCTGATTTTGATTTTTGATAGAGAAACACAGTGGTTTTTAAGTGGAAGGGGATTTTAATCGAGTCTGTTATCCTCCTCTTGATAATGTAGTATCAGATTTGATTGAATTCCCCTTGTTTTATGTTTTGACATATTTTTTCAGGTTTCAGGTGTTTTATGTTCAGGTCAGACATATTTTTTCTTGTTTTTATAATTTTAGGTTTTAGTTTCACATTTCTTTCTTATTTTGCATATTTATTGGATATTTTGAAATTTATTAGTATTGAATTTCACTTCTTGTAGGTGAAATTCAATACTAATAATTGTGTTGTACTTCAAATTGAACACTAGAATTGTGTTGTACTTCAAAATAAATTTATTTGGTTTTTGTAGGAAAGGTTTAGTTATATATGCCCAGATATAGCTAAAGAATTTGCAAAGTATGATCAAGAACCAAGCAAGTGGATGAAAAAGTATGAGGGTATAAATGCAATCACACAACAACCATTCTCTGTTGATGTGGGTTATGAGCGTTTCTTAGGTCCCGAGATATTTTTTCATCCTGAGGTAAATTTTATTTTATTGTCATTAATTATTCATATTATTTTTTTAGTTTTGTATAATTTCGGTATAAGAATTTTAATTGTGTACTCCCATGTTTATATTGTTTTTATTTCTATCATGTTATTTGTAGTTTTAACCAAACTTTATCTGAATAGCTTGCATTGTAGAGACATTAGGCTATTTTTTTTAGAGCAAGAGACGTGAAAAATGAGAAATGCAATCACTGGGACTCGAACCTCTTGAATTCACGTCGAGCATGCTTACCACTACACCACAAAGGCATGCTAAGAAGGCGGGAGAAATAACCTTATATACTCCCCCTTTTGAGGGGTGGCTGTGGTTTCAGGAGAAACGTTCACCACCTTTTAGTTCGGGCACCTATGTAGAGACACTAAGCTATTTTTTGAAAGCAAGAAATGTGAAAAATGAGCAATGCCCTCGCTGGGACTCGAACCACGAACCTCTCGAATTTGCATCGAGCATGCTGACCACTACACCACGAAGGCATGCTAAAAAGGTGAGAGAAATACCTTATAGCATGACCAAAATAGTATTTTCACTTTGAAAAGCTAAAATTTGTGCAAAAATGAAAAATAGAATAGTTCCTTATATAACATTTATAAAACTTGTTACATGTTGTTAGAAATTGTTGTCAAATGTGTTCAAAAATTATGCTCCATAAATACTTGATAATTGTATATTTACTTTGTTTTATAACAGAATGTTTGAAATTCTATTAATTATACCTCGACATGCTAGTTTGTACTTCTTTATTCATTACATGCATAATTTCATTTAATTTAAAATATAATGTAAATGTTTCAGATTTTCTGCATTGGGACTTAGCTTTTGTGCATTTTGTAAATGCTTTCAGAATGTGACATTTATATTTTTTAAAATACAGTACAAATTTGATCAAAAGATTAACCTGATTTCAGATGTTTATTTTTAAATTTGCAGATTAAGAGATAATACGTGCAAAGAAAACTATTCAAATTTTATTTATGATTATTCAATGTGACTGTCTTAAGTTGCATGTATATAATCAAGATAGTAATTAAATTTTTACTGTTTTACACCAACATATCATTTTTTATTGTCTTCCCAGTACACCAGAGAGAGACACCCAGATATAGATTGTCGTCACAATTAAACTGCCCAATCCTGCAGAAAGTATTTAAAAAATAATCTATCACACAGCCCAAGTCAGACTTGATAGTAATATTATGAATTTCTGTCATACCTGAGCGTCTACCAAACAGAATGGCAGTTCTAGTTCTGTGAAGGCAGCTAATCTCCCTTATACTGTCCTTTTCCACTATATAGACAGAGTAAATGACTAGCTGGGGGGGATTATTGTCTCCACAGCAAGAACAATGTGATTTTTGAGATTATGCGTGATGAATGGCAAATGTAGCATGAATGTGTCTTTAATATATACTTGAAGGAACCAGTGTTATGGTATAAGGTCTGGTGATTCAGAAAACTGTTTGTGAGTTGAGAATAGGTCAGGTTAGATTAATTGAGAATGGCAGATAACATGAGGGCTGTCTGCCTAGGAGACCTTCGTGGAAGATTTTCTAAGGAGAACTGTCTCGTATTCATGTTATGCACGGGAAAATCCATGAAAACCAGCCTGGTCACCTAAGTTTAACTTCCAGTATTTAGCAGTCTTCAACAGCTGGCCACTAGTGAGGCCTTTTAGGCTTTGAGAAATTAGGTCATTACTTCCTGTAAGATAAGAAAGTACTTCAGTAAAGAAACATAATTTTCTGCATCAATATTTAATGACATTGTAGAAGGTAGAGATTTGATTTTTCATTTCTGTGTACCAGATTAAAGCAATGTGAGATTGTATTGTATTTCAGTCTGTTTATGTGTGTTCCAGAATAACTGGAATGAGTATTTAAAAAATTCTATTAAGTGATATTTATGTTTTTTTTTAATATTATTTTTAAGTTTGCAAATCCTGATTTCATGGTTCCAATATCAGAAATAGTCGACACATGTATTCAGAGCTGTCCTATCGATGTGAGGAGACCTTTGTATAAAGCAAGTATCTTTTTCTAACATTTGTTCTTGTAGTTTCATTGTCTAAAGTACTACTTTGACATTTGTTTTTTTATATTTTAGAACATTGTTTTGTCTGGTGGTTCGACAATGTTCCGTGATTTTGGTCGAAGATTACAACGTGATATTAAGAGAGTTGTGGATGCAAGATTGAAACTTAGTGAAACACTTAGTGGTGGACGAATTAAGGTGAGATTCTATTGACTACAGTTTAATAACATAAAAATTCGTACTAAGCTAATTCTTTAGTTTTTATTCATTTGACAAAGCATATAACAATGCTTAACAGATGGAAATGCATTTTTAAAAAATATTTTGAGATTACATATTGCTGGATTTATGTTTAGTCTTAGTATGTAATTATATCAAACACTAGCTGAAATTCTTATGTTTATGCTGAGTATTCAAATTGTTTTCATCTCAGCAGAGGGTATATAAGCAAAAAGAGATGTCAAAGGTATATTGTCAGATATTTAATAAATATCATTAATGGGTAATAAGATTTAAACAAAGCAGTAGTTTTCTATAGTTAGTTGGTCTTTTTATTAAATTTTGGCATATTTTCCTTCCTTCCTAGCATAGTGATCTCTAGTTGCACAAGAAAAAGGCAGCTTTTGTTGCTTGGAATTTTAAAAAAACAGTGAAACTTGCATCAAACATTATGAAACAGCATAATGGAAATTAAAATATTAATAAATTAAAATAAGAAGAAAAGTCTGTATGGATTCCGATTTCAGCGTCGCTAAAGAGGGTTTGATAAGGTTTTTATGCTGTCGTTGAGCTCACAGTTTAAAAATCAGCTCTTAGATTCACTTCTGTTAACATAACTTTTTTTGTCCTTTAAACTTATTATTTAACATCAGTTTCTTTGCATTTATGCCACACAAAATTTAAGAGGAAAATCACGAAATTGTTAAAAGCTACGTCAAGCATTGCATTAACTTTTGTCAGCTTTTTCTCAGTTAATTATATCAATGCTTTATTATTATTATTATTATTTTAAGTAAGATGATTTACTATTAAATTTTTGTCTTTATTTATTAAGCATCACTTTTTTTAACTTACACCAGATAAAATTCTACAGTAAAACGACAAAAGATTTAAAAACGGCATATCTTTAAAATTTCCTGTAGAGTGTTAAATGTTGCTCTACCCTTTTTTTTACATTTACTACAGTTAAAAGTAATACTTAGCAATAATATTTGGTGGAAAATCCTTTTATTTGTGTGTTCATACTTTTTTTTAATATTTGTTGTATCAGTTCTTTCATAATAGTAAGTAGTGATAACATTTAGTGCTAGTATCCATTTATTTGAAAAATGATTTGGACATAAAAATGATGAGTGCAAAAATGAATCAATTAAAAAGTGGGTATCAAGATCACTTCTAATGTTTAATTAAAAAAATTATAAATTCATTTTTAACTGCTAGGGTGTGGATATTCCCATGATTATATATTCAGATGTGATCACTCCCCAAAACCTTTGCCTTTTCTTTAGATATTGGCTAATTAACTATGGATATGCAAATTTGCATATACTAATAACTAAATGAGAATGCTAGATAATAAATGTAACATATTGTGCATACTTTTCGGAAACTGTATGTAGGAGGAAGTTCTGAATTTCATAGTTAATAATGAAGACGTGCCTTTGCTGTATTTTTTTAATTAGAATTTTTTTATTATAAAGGTCAGAAATTTTTAACTGAATGACTAAAATTTCATGATTTTGCATGTAACTATATTTTAGTAATGTTAAAAAATTTTTTATGCAATTTGGAAGGTTTACTTTAACAAATGTCTTTCTTTTGTAGAGTTTTCTTTTCAAAACTGCTGTTTCTTGTTTTTAGTATCTTAAATTTCTGTGTTCTGTGTGATTTTTATTTAATCACTTAATTTCTGCTCTTCTTAAAAGTAAATGTGAAAACAATTAAAGTTGTATTCAGGAAACCCTCAGTGGGGATTTGCGAAACGCAAATTCATATATACGTTATCTTCATTGTTTCCATTTAATTTGTCTAGTGCAAAAATTTCATTTATATGTGGTTTACGATGTTGTAAAACATTTTTTGTAGCAAATAATTTCACAACAAATGATCAAAGTAAAGAATATAATTAATTTCTCTTACCTTGTATCCAATGCAGTGTCAACAAGATCATAGCTAATTGAAATGTGTAATCCAAAAGAGATTGTAGATGGAAATTGGAAGATTACAAACACATTTTATTAATACATGATGATAGATACTACATAATAATAAGATTCATTAGTACTCCAAATACTTATCAATAGAGAGTTATATAAAAGAGTGTCATATCACTGTCCTATTCTGAAGGAATGAGGGAAAAAGTAAAGAAAGACCGAGTTACACAATTATCTCCTTTGCAAGGTGTCCAGATTATACTGTTTATCACACTATTGTTGACAGTCCATCACCAATTTGCAAACCAACATAAGGTTCATTCATCAACAGTAAATAATTACTGCCATCAACTCTGGCTAGATGTCATCAACAATTTTAAAGGGTTTATGTCACTTGAAAATGAAATGAAATAAAACCATACAGTTTGCAGAAGCAACTGGTGGCAAAAAATTTTCAGATATAGAACAAGACAACAAAAATTAATGAAGAAATGATGAATTGGATATTCTGTAACACCAGCCAACAGTGAAAAGTGATAATGGTTAAGGTAAAACACCTTTAACTTACAATAAATTTAAATGAATTGCTAAAAAAGATACAGGAACTGTTTAATTTTACAATGTAGTTTGACCCAAATGAAGAAAAAAGATGATATTTTATGGGAAACAAAAAAAAAAAAGAAAAAAAGAAAAAACTCTGCACTTCTTGTTTCAAAACCTTTTAGAGTTCTGTAAGTCATTGTCCGAAGCAAAAAATTCACAACGTTTTAAAGAAATAATTGTATCACATACTAATTAAACAGCAATAAAATTAATTTTAGCTTACATTTCTTTTATTTTTCCCTTTTAATTAGAACAGTATTTAGGTTTGTTTAAATTATACATATTTTCTTAATCTAAATTATACCTAATACTTTTTTTCATAGAAAGGGAACTATGTGGTCATTCATTATTGCTTATGCAATTTTGCCGTATGCACTGTGTATTAATGACATAACCTTTGTGTTTGGCAAGAGTTTACTATACAGCAATCGTTTCGTGAACTACCTATGTCAGAGTTTCTTAAACTGTATGTTCCCATCTAGGGTCGCAGAACCTGCAGCAGGGGATCACCAAAATTTTTGCAATTTTGTTTCTCTAACTTATTATAATTTTACAATTATCAAATATTTTTACATAATGTATCTGAAAATAAAGAAAAGACAATACAAAGAAAAAACGAAAATGTTTCAACACATTTTTAATAGAAACATTCATTTTATTTTAAAAATTAAAGTTAAAAGCTGAAAGTGCTTTTTTCTTTAAAGCTAAAAGAATGTTTCTCTTTGTATGAATACAGTCTTTTGGAATAGTCTACTTAAAAGAGTCAAAGTATAAGAGAAACCAGGGCTTAATTTCTAAGATTAGAAGTGCCGGAGCCCTACGGAAGACTATCAGCAAAGAGGAACAAGAGTAAATAAGTAAATAGACTATTAAACTCATTAATAATTTTTAAATTAAATAGTTAATTGTTATCAAATTAATTAACAGCTATTTAATAAATGTTTATAAATTGTTATTTAATCAATAATTGTTATATAATTAATTATAATTTAATTTATAATTATTAGATAAACATTATAATTTAATTGATAATTATTAGATAAACAATTAATTATACTTTAATTGATAATTACTATTATTTATTGAAATAATTAAAATTAAATAAAATGTAAAGAGATAAATTGAAATTTAATAAGCAATTTTTAATATAATTTTATTGTTAAAATAAAATTCTCGAGATAAAATTTCTACTGAAATTGTTATTCGTTTACATAAAAGAAGTGCTGCAGCCTTCTTATTCAGGGCTCCAGTGTGTTCCAGCTAGAGTTATGATTTATTACAAAAACTAAGAAGCACCGGAGCAGAGATCCGGTGGGCTCCGGCCCAATTTAAGCTCTGATCGTAAGGGGGTGAAAAAGTTCTTTTATCATCACAAAAATTAAATATACTTAAAGCATAGCTGATGAAAATTCCAGGGCGAAACAGAATGAGTGTATGTGTGGGTGGAAACAAAAAATGAGGGAAATCTTGGTGAGAGAGAATGCTCTTTTTGACCAGGGCTCTCTGTTGATGTAATTATAGCCATCAAACAGATGTGTATGAGGGGTAAAATGAGTCCTGAATCTGACTCCTAAGGATGGATCTAAAGTTGCTGTTTACGCTTCCCCCCCCCATTAATGGACACTGGGAAGACAATGTATAGGATGTGCTTGAGCAGTTTTTCTCAGTATATCACTCTTGTTGTACTTGCTGTCACTTGATGCATGTTTAAGAACACAATTTTTCCATCCTGCGAGGATAACTAACTCTAAGCATTGATAACAATACACTAGATACGATGGCATGGCGAGAAATTTACGTGTTCCTAAACAAACTCCCCCAAATTTATTGCCCTTCTTAAGGGGAAAGGTTTCCGCATGTGAGTGAGGGGACTTTACTTGAACGTCTCATGTTCTCATGAGTTTGTATTTCTAGGGAGACAGAGTATTGCAAGGTCTTCTTATTGTTAAACTAAAACGTTAGGAATTCTAAATTTTTTCCCCTTTAAATTGTGTTTCAGTTTTATAAAAAGAAGTACCAAAGCTCATCTTATTTAGGGCTTCGGTGCGCTCCGGCTAAAATTGTAATTTATCTTAAAAATTTACAAGTACCAGAGCAGGGCTCCGGCGCAATTTAAGCACTGAGAGAAACTTAGCAGCATATAACTAATCTTTAGTGGTTACTTGTTTCATTTTAAAATGTGATTTTAAGTTATTTGTCATTCAGAAGATGGGGGGGGGAATGACAGTAATACTTTTGAAGCATATATATATATTTTTTTTTTTTTTTTTTTTTTTTTTTTTTTTATTTTAAACCTATTGCTTTTAATCGGTCTCTTTTATATATATGTAAGTAATATAAATCTGTGTCATTATTGTAATAAGATGACTTGGTGGACAGTAAGTTGCAGTGGATTGGCGGTGGTTCTCGGCATTATAACTGCATAGTTAGCAAAATAACACTCTAAGAACACACATAACAATAAATTCCAATCATAATTTGTATTCCTCGATAATACACATCATCATAGTGGGTGCGCTATGCATCCCCACCCCCATTTTATACAGCTTACATCTTAAACCATGGATGAAATTAGGAAAGTAAAATCTGCATAGCTAGCGGCAAGGTGACACAAGCAGAAGAGAAGAGCAAAGGAGAGGGAGTTGCGATGCAGTTTACCTTTTATACCATTTCAGATCACATGACAGTTTAATGTATAGGTGTTGGGTTCAGATTTCATTGGTAAGTGCCCCAATACATACTAAATGAGGGATCTTTTTCGTTTAGTTAGAACATTAGTGCTGTGTTATTTTTAGCATAAAGACAGGAGTTAAAGTACTATTATTAATTTATTATTTGAAAGATAGATTAGATATTTTATATTTTATATATACATATATTTTTTCATTACAGCCAAAACCTATTGAAGTTCAAGTCATTTCACATCATATGCAAAGATATGCTGTTTGGTTTGGTGGCAGTTTATTGGGATCGACAGTAAGATATTTTGAACAGTTTTATGTATTATTATTTTTTATCAGTAATCATATTTTTCCCCCTTAGCTTTTTAGCACCATGTTCTGAAAATTTTTTCATTATTCACTTAACTTAATTAAAGCTGCATTGTTTAATATTAGCAGTGATTGCTGATGATAAAAAATTTCCGCATTTTGCAATTTTTAAATGGAAGACAATGCCGAAACAAAACCTGTATTGTGATATCGTAGTTAAAGTACATCAGAAAGATTGGATGTTGTCTGAATGAAAAAAGTGTCTCAGAATTGTGTGGAACCAATCGACAGATGCTTTTCATAAGTCACTATTGAAGATTTACGTCACTTTTGCAATCACTGGACATATCAGTGAATAAATCATTCAGAAACTATCTCTAGAAGTTTTATAACCATTGGTTATCACACATATTTACTAGAACTGGAAAAATCCAGAGATCTTCCTTTGAATTGATTTGCTTGTGGATTTTAGGTACATGTACTATGACTGATGAAGCAATAATAGTGGAGAGCTTCAAGGTTATGGAGATATCTAATGCTCTTTGAAGTTCTGAAGATCATTACTCATGGGAAAAAACAGACTTAACAGTGATGACAATAATGACAACTGGTAAGCTGTAGCAGACAACAAAGGTAGAAAGGTAGTACTTCCAGAAGCACTGAATATTTGCAGTCGAAGAAGTAGCAGAGGTTTCTTTTAAAGAAATAATATTGTGATAATTATCTGTAGTTTATTCATATGTATTTTTATTTTGTTATGATCTTTTGTAACCACATTCTTTGGAAATTATTTTCATAATTCCCCGCCCCCACCTGGATTTTCAGACAGTAGAATTAGTGAGGAAAAAAGGGTGCAGGAAATATTGAAGAAAAATATGCCTTCCTTCGTAGTTTGGCAATATGCGAACTTTCTTGTGGTAAACTGCTCAAAATCGCTTTTGTCACTTGAAGATACTACCTCGCACTCTTTTAAAGTTGATTTTTTTTAGTTACCATGTTGTCGATGACCAGTTTTGGGGACGACTGTAGTTTCACTAGAGTCTTGTATATGTCTTGGTAGCTAGATATACAAGATTGAAGCCTCTTTTTTTTATTATTATTAAAAAAACATTTTTTTTATTGATAACGTCATCAGTTATGTTCCAATTTGATTGAAATTTTCATGTACCACACAAAAAAATAGTGCCAAAAAAGACCGCACAAAAACAGGTTTGAGTGTACAAATTGCATTTAATGCAGAATTGGAGTTTGATGTTTTTTGATTTTATTTATATTATTTATAGTGGATCTTTCGTTTTTATGTTGGTCAAAACCAAAAATGCAAATTCACACAAATAAGATGTGGAAAATTGTAATAAAACAATTAAAGCTTTTTGTAATATTATCAGTTAAAACATATCTGAGATTAACCCAGAATGAATTAATTGATTCTTCTGAATGTTTTGAAATTAAATCTCAATTATTACACCCCAAAATTAGTTCTTCCTCTTTTTTTAAAGTTAATTCATTGCCAATGTGTCGTTTATTGCGAATGGATTTCAAACCCAACTTTTTTTTTTTTAATTTCAGCACTCTGTTTTTTTGGAATTAAAGTATTATTTTTTAGTCCTTGCATACTTGTATTTATATTTTTAAAGATAACAAAAATATCAGATAAGTGAGCTAGCTTAGAATGTTTTGTCATCTAACAAATCAACAAAATCATTATTATCTTGTTCGAAAAATATATTTATCTCATTTTTACTTTCTTGTATAAAGGAAATGTTGTAATCATGAAAATTCTGAATATCCTATTTCAATGAAATATCAATTTTAACCGCTCTCGAATCCATCTGAATTTTTAAGTTGTGTGGTTTGGTTAAGACATTGAACAGTCTGACGTATGTTAGGACTCGTTCAGCTAATCCCGCTAGGAGGTTAGAACCAATCGAACTACTTGTCTGATGTCACTTATGTATGGGTATTCATAGTGTCATCTCATGATGTTATGCTGTAGGAAATCCATACATGTACCATATAGAAATATATATATATTATGAATTGTATTGGATGAAAACTGTCATGCTATAAATAAATTCATACATGGTAACATACTTGAAGAATCTGGTGACACAATGATTGAGGATCACCGATATGTACAGATAAATGATTAATGTGATAAAAATAAGTAGATAAATATAGCCACATATAAGCAGCGTAAGTAAGTAGCAGCAAATGATAGTTTTTAATTTTGTAGGAATTGATGAAATCATCACCAACTGTAGTTGCCAGGCTAACAACTTGTAAATAGATTATTTATCATAGATAAAACTTTTTGTATTATTCAGTTTGTGAAAGTAAATTTATATGCCATTTATTGTGCTTTTGGAATGCAGTTTCACAAGAATCCAACTTTTCTTAAATTTTGATAGAGATGAACCAAGTCTATGAACCATTTTTTTAATTTTTAGGGAATACTATAAAAATAATAAATTATCTGAGTATGCCACTAATCAAATGCATTCCTCTTTTAATAAAATAAAGCTCTTCTTCATGTTTAAGAATTTCTGTAGAATAAGTTGCAAAAACACCTTGCTCCCTGGATCTCAGTTCCTGCGACCTTTTGTATGAAGCTTCGCAAAGGATATGGTATTTTTTCTATTTCTATCATTAGATAGTGGAGATCTGAAGTTGAAGATTACAGAACCATCAAAATGATTAACAAAAGTATATCAGAAAAGTGTTATCTCTTGTATCATGAAAAAAAAGCTTGCATTGCACATTTAAAAAAAAGCCAATGACAAAGTAGCATACTTAAGACACAATAACATGCCGAATAAATACTAATTCAGAAGTCAAACAACAAAAATCAGCGTTATGTTTACAAAATTTTCACAGGACTAGTTTCGATGGTTTTACCGAACCACCATCCTCAGCTGCAAAACCGCAAAGATACATTATAATGTATAAAATTCATTGGAAAAACTGAAAAGGCACCCTGCAAAATAATCTAGATTTAAAATTCTCTCAATTTAATGGATTTTGTTTTTCATTCCCCCCCCCAATAGTTACTTTTAGTTACAGTAATTAATTTTGCTGATATTACAATGGTTAGTTTTCCAATAATTATTAGCATTTCTCAATAATTAATTCAATTAAATAAAAAAAAACTTCATTTGAACAAATTTTCAAAACTTCCCAAATTTTTCTAGAATTTAATTTTTTAACTTTTCTAAGTTAGTAATTTAGCTATTTTGAAGATTTTTTCATATGTAATAAGAATCATCCTTTCTCATTGTCTCTCTCATCTGATAAATTATGAATCTGTTAGATATTTGTTCCAGCAGAATTTTAGTATTTTGATATGGGAATAATTTAATCATTTAAAATGAAGTATGGGAAACTTTTAAAACTACAAATGTTTGATGATCTAAAAATTAAACCTAACACTGCATTACTTAGCATTCTTCATAAAATGAATTTTTTTAAAGATTGGTGAAATGAAATGACATCATATAGTATCAGTAATGCTTCATCAAGAAGGAGTGTTTTTAATGTGCATTCAAAATGTGATCTGTTTGTTTTTCTTGGAAACTGTGAAGTAGATTCACCAGCTTACCAAGTTTTAGTTACTATTTGACATTGAACATCTCCTGAAACAATTTAATGATACTGAAACAAAAGATGAGCCCAGTATTGATGGTGATTAAAAAATACACACTTTACATTTATTAATGCTTTTTCTGGTATAATAAATGCAAAATATTATTAATGAAACGTGAAACACTAGTTGGAATCATTGATACTTTCCAAAACATTTGATATAAAAAAACTAGAGACTGAAATGAACAACACACAATCACTTTGAACTTTCACACTTTGAAACAAACAAAATGCCTTTTCTAAGCAATAATTTATTATGTCAAATTTAAATAGTTTGCTGTTTGCTAGTTTAACATCCAGTCCTGAAGTTACTGTGCACTTTATATAATGCTTTATGAAAAGTAAACTGAGAACAGTCTGAAAGGTTTGACCATGTGTAGATTCACATGAAAAAATTATAGACTTGGAGCAGAATTAATGGCATCACTTGGCATTTAAAAAATATATACATATTGGAGCCCTTGAATACTCCAGTAAACATGTAATATAAGTTTTGGAGTATAGCTTGTGGAAAAAATATTTTGGACATATGAATCCGTTTTAATGAGTAATTATATTTCATGAGATTATATACAGGATTTTTGCACCTTAAGGTGGAGTTTCTTCTTTTCAGTATTTGAAAATTCATCACAATATAGCCATGAAAGAAGTGAATCTTTTTAAACTTATTCTCCTACCCATATTTTTTAACTCGCTGCTTTTTTATATTAAGCATGGTTATAAAAGGAGGGATAAAAGTAGAGTTTTAATAAAATGTAATTTATTGAAAATGCTGAAAATCTTGCTGGACATGTAATCTTTTTTCAGTAACCACTAAGCCAGTAATTGTCTTGAAATGGACATATAATTAAATGCTTTGCATATATAAAATTTACTTCTAAGTACTGTGATGTTATCGCATTGAAAACTGCAAATAAATTTGTGGAAGACATCCAAATGTGGTGTAAACATATTAACTGAAATATATGAAAGAAAACATTAATACAACACAAATGAAAAGTCAGCCAATAAATATTATTGTTTAGATCAGGGTTTCTCAAACTCTGGTACATGTACCAATAATGGTACATTACATTATTTTAGGTGGTTCATTTCTACATCAATGGAGTACAAAATTTAAAATGTTTGAGAATCTCTAATTTAGATAATTTAATTTGCATTAAGTAAAATTTCTTTCACTCTTTTTATCTGTGGTGTAATTTCTTCAAACATAGTTTATCATGCTGCTCAATAATATTAATAATATTTTATTTAACGCTTTGCAGCCAGAATTTTATCAAGTTTGCCATACCAAAGCTGCATATGAGGAGTATGGGCCAAGCATCTGTCGCCACAATCCTGTTTTTGGTGCTATGACATGAAATTTACATTGCAATATAAAGAAGAGAGAGACTTACTTGAATATGTTTTGTAATATATTTTACAGAAATATGAAGTACTGCTTCTGAGATTATTGTTAGCTTCCACTATGGACTGTGATGTGTATAACGAAAGGAACAAATTTATTTAAAAAATTCCAATTAACATTTATTGCTCACACTGTTTAATAATATGTGCATTTTAAAAAAAAAAAAATTTGTAATGCTACTTTTTATAAATAGATAAGATTATTGAATATAAATCTGTTGATTCTGAAGTAATCTTGAAATCAGATAATGTTATTTTGTTTTTGTAATTTTTATTTCCTATTTATTGAAATTAATTAGAAATAAATTTTGTTTTCATTATACTTTTACCATATTTTTGTGTTTATTATTACTGCAATTAAATTATTATGCATATATATATATATATATATGCTTTAAACATCATTTGCCAACTTTTACAGTATTATAGGAAAGAAATTAATTTAGAGATGAAAAATGTGCTTTAAAATATTGATGTGTTTTATTTCTTAAGTCTCATTGCAAAAATTGTATAAAATGTTACTTGAATTGTTAGAAACATGTCATGCAAGGAGTATAAAGTTATATTAATCCACATTTGTATTTAATGAATATTTTATGTTTTTTCGTGTAACATGGTTGATTTATGATAAAAGTTTAATTATATGTTTGATTCATTATTCTGAGTATTTTTTATATCATTATGCTAATGTTAGATTATTTTCTATGTCTCTGATTGTGTACAGTTAAGCACATTAATGTCCAAATCAATTTGCAAAGATATTTTGCTAAATATTTTTGACATTGTTCTTTTCAATTATTTATATTCATTTTATTAACGATTGGTGAAAAAAAGGAAATCTCATATAATTAAAAATGTGTATTTAAAATTTATGGTGTTTTTTGTATTTTATGATAAATAGATTTGCAATGCTATGCTCGTGGAATAATATGCAGAGCTAATGTATGTAGATGTGTCTAAAAAGGGAGGGAGGAATGAAAGTGTAATAACTTCAAAGGGATTAGAAGAATGCTTCATGTGTATTTACTTATATGTCAAAAGATATTTCCAAATCCTGGCAAGTGTCTGAAGCACATTTTCCTATGTAATAATTTCACACATTTCCAAATCTGAAATGTTCTTTCTAAATAATGAAGTTTTAAAATTACTAAATAATTTTAAAAGATTCCCTCCTCTCCAGAAGGAAGGTATACTCATGGTGCAATACTGTGCAGTCTAAATGGCCGAGTCGTAGAATGTTGAATTCTATAAAGCAGAAAATTAAACAAATGAATATTCTCGCATTGCTTTTATTGGTGCTGTTAATGTCTTAGAAATTAATAAATTGGTAACTAATCTTCATTAACTTCAGTTTATTATGATGATGATTAATCTCAAAAGAGTAAATGTTCTCGCACCCCCCCTTTTTTTTTCTTTTGGGAGGAGTATCTTCAAAATGTAGGCTTTTCCAAAATTTGATTAGTTTAGCTGACGATATGTTATTAAAACAATTCAGAATTATTTTTGGCCTTTATGGGCTGTCAGAGCTTTTCGCATCTAAGGCATAGCATAATTCAAGAATTCTGCAAGAGAAAGAGATTAATCAAAGTTTAAATTAAATAGGAGTGTATAATTCATGATTAATACTAACTTAAAAGAAGTATATTTATATTGCAAAATATTAAAGTGTAAAATCAATGTCGTTAGCTAAATTATATATCGTTAGCTGGAGTGAATTGTAATATGAAACAAATACTTCTAAATTTTCTGAGTACATCAGTTGAACAAGGTCAGTACCTTTTTCCATATACATGTAACTGAATGTGTTAATAATATTGATGAATAAGCATAGCACGTAATGATGCTTTTATACTTCAGAATCCCAGATCATTGGCATAAATCTAAAATACTTAGACTCAAGTATTTTTAGATTTATGTCAAAGTATTTCATTGACTATTCATTTCATTTATACAAAGTATTTCATTATTATTTAAGTATTTCATTGACTTGGATTGGTACATGATTTTTCCCTGTTACTAAATGAAAATTACACCTTCCATAACTGAAATAAAAGAATTACATATTTTTGTACAATGCATTTATAGTTATTAAATGATGCACAACTATATGATAAAGCTTGGTATTGGAATGTTTTAAATTGCTAGAAGCTAAATTTTTGGTGCATTTTGAATGAATTAATGTTGAATATTTTTTATTTTACCAGAGAGAATTGGCATTTTTTTGGTGACAAAATTAAACATACAGGTTATTTATTGATAATTGAGCTCATAGCACTTTTTTTTTTTCAGGAACAGCTGTTGAACATAAAAACATATGTGTTATGCAGTAACAACTGAATTCATATTTTCAGTGTTATGCAGTAATAGCTGAATTCATTTATATTGAAAAATGAATACTGTAAAAACTGCATGCTGATTTATAACATAGGCATAGATAAGAAAATTATGTTGAGGTTGTATTGGATGGTATAAATGTAATAAAACTGTATTCTGAACTGTATTGAAGGCAAAGGTTCTCTAGCCAGTATGACAGATTCAACAAAGCATGTCCAAATAATATTCATAATATTGAGCCAGAAAATGGTATGTTATGTCAAGTTTTATTTTGATTTCTTTGTTGCTGCTCTGAGAAATAATTGAGATTTTTCTTTCTCTCATATACGTATTCACTTAATATGAATGCAATACTACTTCATCTAAAACATAACATTTCATTGAATTTTATCTCATAGATGTATTTTATGAGATCAACAGATCATAAGTTTTATACCAGTTGCATTTCTCTCTAAAGTGATTACTTTGTTTAGAGAATTTTCTGTGTTCTGTTTTAAACTTCATAGAAAAACTCATTCTTTGTCCAAAATTATTGTGCTCATCTCATTGTCATAATTTGTATTTTATACGTATATTGCAAGAATTTTAAGAAAGGAAGTCTCTTTACTTCTGAATAAAAGGCTTTTATAAATAATATTAATCTATGAATTAAGGTTTGTTTTAAAACTAAATTTCACTTATATCCTACCATGCTATGGGCATCATTTAACATTTTCTTGAAATTTAGCTGTTAAAATGAATCCATTCTTAATCTTTACTATATGCTGCAAATATTTCATCTTCAAAATTTGGATTGTTGCATTTCAATATGGAAGGCTGTGCTCAGTCATTGAATTTTTATAATAAGGGAAATAATTTCTGGCTATGACATAGTCTATTCTTTTTCTGTTTACCCATATTATGTGCTGCCATATTTCATCTTACTCAATATTTCTACTGTAAACTTTCATGTGGTGAATTTCATCATTAAAAGATATGATTAATATTGAATATTTGATCAGTTTTTGCTAAAGATATATGAAGAGTATTCTCAGTTATCGCTAATCTAGTTAAGATAATGATGTTTTAAAAAATTTCTTACTTCTTAAAGGAAAATGAATATGCTGTTCGCATGGCAGAGATGGTGATTTGATTCAGATTATTGGTTTTATAGAAATTAATTATCCTAGATCAGAAATTAAAAAAAAAAAAAAAATTATGTTTCACTTTATTACTTTTAGAATAAAATCTTGATGTAACCTGGTTATATAATTATAATATATAATCTTGTATCCTGGTTATATAATCTTGATGTAACCTGGTTATTGCAGTTACATAACCAACTTACTTCAGGTAATATTCAACTTTTAGTAGTACATTAACTTGCATAAGTTGGTTATATAATATATTTGAGGGCTATCTGAAGGGGGGATTACCTTTGTAGAAGACTTAATAAGGAAAACTAGATTTTACTTGGGTTACATTTGGTGAAAATCTTGAAAGTACTGTGCCAACCATCCCATTTAATTGCTGGGTATTAAACAAGTACGGACTTGTAGCATTCTGCAGCTTTAGTCACTTGGCTTCTGGTGGGTCATGTGAATCTAATTTAAGCAGGATTTTTTGGAAATCAAAATGTAGGAACTATGCAAAACTGTTAAAATTTACATACATGTACAAAAATAAAGTTTATAAATATACTGAAAATATTTTCTTAGTCTTAATAGATAAATTTTTAGTATTTATTTGATATTTTTATTTTCTGTGCTATGCAAAAGAAAATCACTTAGGTACTTAAATGTGGTTCATTATTAAAACATTTCTCTTTGTCCTTTATTGTATAATTAAATTATAGAGAGTTTCTATACTTAAATTTTAAATTTGCTTTATCAGATAGAGTGTGTAATATATAGAATTTTAATTTAGACTTACAGAATTTCTGTATTGTGTAGTTAATTGCATTAATTCCAGTAAAGTTTTCGTGCTACATTTATATTATTTTTGGCTGTATTTTTATCTTATTTGTTGCAATATTATTATTAATAAGATTAATAATAAGTGCTTCTTGATTTTTATTTGCTTTGAATTTAAAATCCAAAATAAAATTTTGATAACATATTTTCTCAGTAAAATGTAATATCACTTGTAATAAATATGATTTTGTTGACAAACCAACTGAATATGTAATTTGTAATACATATTTGGTGTGCAGTATGTGTTCAAAAGTATCTTGGCATATTTATAATTTGTTTATATACCATATTAATATATTTTCTTGTGTTAAAAGGAGTTCTGTTGAGTCTACATTACTAGGATTTCACACCTGGTACTTGTACAAACAGAAGTCATCTGACACATCCTTTGAACCTAGATTCTTGTGTTAGGGAGCATTCACATGATAGTTTAACTGTCATTATTATCATAATCTTCAGGTGTAAAATTTATTAATTCCATTCACATCTCGAACAGGATTTCAGTTGTAGCCAGTCAGAGAAGGTAAATTGGCACTTGCATAAATATGCAGCTGACTCAGCAAAAACATCAACCAAATGTCAGTTCGTGATTCCTTCACTCTGATTAGAGAGTTCTTGTAGTTGAACAATAGCAAGGCTTGGTTCCCTAACACTAAGTTTGGTTCATGCCACTTGTGCATCACAAAGCCCTCATGAATCCTATATTAGATTACCAGATGATGAAGTGTGAACCACTTTTTTTAAAAACATTCGTACTGCGAAGTTCCACTGGGGCTGATCTCTAAGCAATGGTACCTGATTTTTTTAAATATTTCCTTACATATGTATGGATTCTTCATAATTATATCATGTTTACCCATTAAGTCGATGAATTTCTCCTCTGTTATGTCATACTGTAAATCCAACACGTAGACAGTATGTAGTTTTATTTTTATTCACTTGAAACGAACCTAGATCACTTGCCCTATATTTTTTTCCCCTTATGTCGTTGCTTTCACCAGACATCATAAAGCCTGGTTGTTTTATTTTATTTCTTG